ACAATTGGGTCCCCCTACCACTACAACTTTTCACCTAACCCCACGCTGCTCACCTCCCCCTAAAAACTGCTCACCACCCTACAGCTGGGTCCCTAAACCCCTAAATTTCTCACCTACCAACTTTCACTGCTCCACCTAACCCACAACCACACAACTGCTCCCCCACCACTAAATTTCTCACCACCACTACAACTGCTCACCCACCACTACACTGCTCACCTACCACTACACTGCTCCCTACCCAAAAACTGCTCACCTACACTAAAGGCTCACCACCCCTACAACTGCTCACCTACCCCTAAACGCCTCACCTAAACCCCTAAATTCTCACCTCCACTTCAGGTGCTCACCTACCACTCCAGCGCCACCTTCCACTACCAAGTTTACTACCCCAAAAACTTCACCTACCCCTAAAAACGTTTTACCTACCACTAAACTGTTCACCTACCACCTAAAAGCTCCCCATCACCCCCCCCATAAAGACTCACAACCTCCCCCCAAAAAAGCTGCCACCTACCACTACAACTGCCCCCCTACCCTTAAATTGCTCACCTAACCCCTACAAACTGGCCCCCCAAAAAACCCACCACTCCCCCAAACTGCTCACCTAAACCCCAAAAGCTGCTTTCCCCCAACCCCAACGCTCACCCCTAAAAACTATTTGCCCAAAATCCCCACCACTACAGCTGCCCCCCCTTCCACTACAATCTCACCCCCACACAGCTGCTCACCTCCACTACAGGGTGCTCACCTACCACAAAAGCTGCTCACCAACCCCTACAACTCCCCAACGCCCCCAACCCACCTACCCCAAAACCCCCACCACCACTACAGCTGCCCCACCTACCACTTTCAACCCTCACCTACCACTACAACGTTTTACCTACCACTACAACCGTTTACCTAAACCCCTACAACTGTTTACCTACCACTACAACTGCTCACCTACCACTACAACTGCTCACCTACCACTACAACTGCTCACCTACCACTACAACTGCTCACCTACCACTACAGCTGCTCACCTACCACTACAACTGCTCACCTACCACTACAACTGCTCACCTACCACTACAACCTCCACTACCCTACAATTGCCCACCTCCACTACAACTGCTCACCTACCACACAACTTTCACCTACCCCCTTCAACTGCCCCACCTACCACTACAGTGCTCACCTACCACTTTCAATTTTTCACCACCACTTTCAACTTCACCTACCACTACAACTGTTCACCTACCACTATAAATGTTTACCTACCCTACAATTTCTCACCTACCACACCCAAAGCCACCTACCACCACAAAAAGCTCACCACCAAATACAATTTTCTCACCACCACTACAATTTCCCACCTAAAACCCCACAGCTGTTTTTACCTACCACTACCCCTCTCACCCCCACTACAGCTGCTCACCACCCCCAACTACCCCCTCTAACCCCCAAAACCCTACAGCTGGCTTTTACCCCCAAACCCAATACCCCCAAAATCTCACCCACCCCAAAAGTTTCTCACCTACCACTACAGTTTTCCCCCACCCTAAAACCCCCCTACCCCAAAAACTTTTATCTTCCACTACAGCTTTTCCCCCCACCTAAAACCACCCCAAAAAGCTTCCCTACCACTTAAAAGGTGCCACCTACCACTAAAAAACCCACCCCAAAAACCCCCTCACCCACTAAAGCTGCTCCCTACCACTACAACTGCTCCTACCCTAAAAATTTTCCCTACCCCCTACACTGCTCACCTACCACCCACAACTTTTTCAACCCTTAACCACTACAACCCGTTCACCCCACCACTACCAAATGTTCCCCCTACCACTACAACGTTTACCTACCACACAAAAATGCTCACCTACCCCTACAACTGTTCCCCTACCACTAAAAACTGTTTACCTACCACTACAGCTGCTCACCTACCACTACAACTGTTTACCCACCACAACAGCTGCTCACCTACCCTAAAAACTGCTCACCTTCCCTACAGTTTCCCCCTACCACTACAGCTTTCCCCCTACCACTACAAAAAGTTCCAAACCCACCAAAAACAACTGCCACCTACCACTACGTTTCTCCCTACCACACAGTGCCAAACCCACCACTACAGCTGCTCCCCCTACCACTACAACTGTTTACCCACCCTACAACTGCTCCCACCCCCACCCACTTTTCACCCTACCCCACAACTTTCACCTCCACTACAACTGCTCACCTAAACCCCTACAGGTCGCTCCCAAACCCCTACAGGTTGCCCCAACCCCTACCCCTACACTGTTTCCCCCCTACCCCCCACAACTGTTTACCTACCCTAAAAAGCTGCTCAAACCACCACTACAGTTTCTCACCTACCAAAATTTCCCACCTACCACTACAACTGTTTCCCCCTACCACTACAACTGCTCACCTACCACTACAAATGTTTACCTTTCCACCCACAGTTCTTTACCTTAAAATACAATTGCCCCACCTAAACCCCTTTCAAATGCTCCCCCTACCACTACACCCGTCACCTACCACTACAAGCTCCCCCCACACCGTTCCCCACCACTACAGCCCCCCCGTTTTACCTACCACTACAGCTGCTCACGCTACCACTACAATGCTCACCTACCACTACAACTGTTCAACCCCACCAACAACCTCACCTTCCCTAAAAATTTCTCACCTCCACTACAACTGCTCAACCCACCAAATACAACTGTTCACCTACCAAATTTCAGCTGCTCACCCCTTTTTACTACAATTTCACCTACCACAAAAACGCTCACCTACCACTACAACTGCCCACTTCCCCTACAACTGTTTTACCTACCACTACAACTGCTCACCTACCACACAACTGCTCACCCCACCACTACAACCCGTTTACCTACCAATACAACTGCCCCCTACCACTAAAAGCTGCCACCTTCCACAAAATTCTCACCTACCACTACACTGCTCAAACCAAACCCCTAAAAAACTGCCCACCTACCACCAAAAGCTGCTCACCTACCACTACACTGCTCACCTACCCCCTACAGCTGCTCACCTAACCCCTACAACTGCTCACCTACCCTTTAATTTTTTCCCCACCCCCAGCTTTACCTACCCCCTACAAATGCTAAACCCACCCCCTAAAAGCTGCTCACCTACCACTTAAATTTTTCAACCCACCACTACAAAAAGCCCCCACCACTAAAAACCCGTCCCCTACCACTTTCAACCGCCACCTCCACTACACTTGGGTCACCTACCACACAGCGCTCACCTACCACCATTTTTCTCCCCCTCCACAAAAAAGCTTTATCTCCCCCTACAACTTTTTCAAACCCACCACAAAAACTGTTTACCTACCACCCAAGCTGCTCACCAACCCCCTACAGCTGCTCACCTACCACTAAAAGTTCTTTACCTACCACTACAAATGTTTACCTACCACTACCCGCCACCTACCACTTTCAACTGTTTAAAACCACCACTACAACCCCTCACCTTCCACTACAAATTTCTCACCTACACTAAAAACTGCTCACCAACCCCCAACAACTTCTCCCCCTACCACAAAAACTCTCACCAAACCCCTACAACTGTTTACCACCCCTAAAAGCTGCTCACCTACCATACAACGTTTACCTAAAACCCCTACAGCTGCTCACCTACCACCCACAACGGGTCCCCCTACCACTACAAGTTTTCACCTACCACCAACCCCCCCACTAAAACTGCCACCTTCCACTACAATTTCCAAAACCAAACCCCTAAAAACTGCTTTACCTACCACCACAACTGTTTAACCCACCACTACAACTCTCACCCCCATTTCAAGCTCACCTACCAAATACAACTGCTTTACCTTTTACCACTACCAAATGCCCACCTTCCCCCTACAACCCCGGGGTCCACCTACCACTACAACTGCTCACCTACCACTACAGCTACTCACCTACCACTACAACTGCTCACCTACCACTGCAGCTGCTCACCTACCACTGCAGTTGCTCCCCCTAGTTAGTTTAATAAGTTTATTATGAACATCAGACCCATCCTGTAGGTAGTAGTCAAAATATTAGAGGTACATAATGTGTCCTGGGACTTGGCTGCAGAGTTTTGACAGATGAACAAGTCACAGTCGTAATGAACTATTTACAAAGTTATATCTTTTTACAAGCGTAATAATGAGTTATTTATGCAGACGTGAATTAGGTCACACACATACACACGCACACACACAAACAGTGGTAATGCTTTATTTACAATGAGCGCCTAGCAGAGAAAACAAACTGGAAGGCGCAGTAAACTCTACGGTATTCACGTGCCATGATTGAAATACCTAATACATAAATCAATAAATATATATACGTATATATGTATATATATATATATATATATATATATATATATATATATATATATATGTGTGGTGTGTGTGTGTGTGTGTGTGTGTGTGTGTGTGTGTGTGTGTGTGGTGTGTGTGTGGTGTGTGTGTGTGTGTGTGTGTGTGTGTGTGTGTGTGTGTGTGTGTGTGTGTGTGTGTGTGTGTGTGTATGTATGTATATGTATACAGTATATCGCTGAGCACTCGACTTTGTCAATCTGTTAATCGTACTTTAAAATACCTACCACCTACCAGCCTCATCAAGCAACTGCTATACTACTTATCAATCTAATCAACCAAACTCAAAACTTTCTATCTGCCTAATCAACCAACAACATCAACCACCCTCAAAACCTCCTACCTATCTAATCAAGCATCCTCAGAATTAGCAACCAGCTTCTTTAACCAACCTCAAAACTACCTACCTATCTAATCAACCAACCTCAAAACTTCCTACCTACTTAATCAACCACCCACAAAACTAGCTACCATCCTAATCAATGAATCATACAACTAGCTACCAGCCTCATAACCAACCCCAGAATTAATTACCAGCCTCATCAACCAACCCCAGAATTAATTACCGGCCTCATGAACCAACCTCAGTAACTAACATGATACTGTTTTTGAACTGCAGGGAGCAGGTAGAGGTCTCCTCCGCCCGTCATCATGGGTAAAGAGGAGAAAGAGAAGACCAAGAAGAGTGTTACTATAGAGGAGAATGATGAGGTGGATATGGAGGAGGTGAGTTACGAGTCTTCCCAAGTGCTATTCTTACTACTATTCTTCCAGGGAGTCGGAGCTACCTTCATCTTCCCCGGATACAGTATAATAATAATAATAAAAATGCGTGTAGTAAGAGGCGACTAAAATGCCGGGAGCAAGTGGTTAGTAACACCTTCTCCTGTATAAATTACTAAATGTATAATATACTAAATGGTTTTAACGGACCATAATTTTTAAAGGGGTGGACCGTAAGCCAGCTAAAAGCCTCGGTCAGATGACGAAAAGCTCCAACGGCGGGTCATCATCTGACTAAGACCCACGTCAGGAAGCACTTGTCCTGTTTTCTGACGAACAATACCTAACCTAACTAAATGTATAAAGAAGAAAAACCTTTGTTTCTTCTTATTCGGGTCACCCTGCTTCTATGGGAGACAGCCGGTGTGTTAATAATAATATAGAAGGTGTTGTATTTGAGGGCTGCGACTCGTCCTGGCGTACGAGTCATCCTCCTGCCAGATTGATGTCTTCTTTGGGTCTTTAATGGTAATTAATAAACATTGTGAGGGGAACGTGCATTACTTTTATATGTGTTTCTGGTCCCCCGCAGGGCAACAGGCCCTTACATGAGATGCCCAACCTGCCCAAGCCTCTCACTCTGGAGGAGAAGAAGTTTCTCTTAGCTGTGGAGAGAGGTGACTGCAACACTGCCAGAAAGTAAGTTAGTTCACTCTGTACCAAGTGATCCTGTGTCTTTCCACAGCTGATCCTCTGTAACTATCACAAGTGACCTACTGTAACTATCACAAGTGACCCTCTGTAACTATCACAAGTGATCCTCTGTAACTATCACAAGTGACCTACTGTAACTATCACGTGACCCTCTGTAACTATCACAAGTGATCCTCTGTAACTATCACAAGTGACCTACTGTAACTATCACAAGTGACCCTCTGTAACTATCACAACTGATCCTCTGTAACTATCACAAGTGACCTACTGTAACTATCACAAGTGACCCTCTGTAACTATCACAAGTGATCCTCTGTAACTGTCAAAAGTGACCTGTAACTATCACAAGTGACCCTCTGTAACTATCATAAGTGATCCTCTGCAACTATCACAAGTGACCTACTGTAACTATCACAAGTGACCCTCTGTAACTATCACAAGTGATCCTCTGTAACTGTCACAAGTGACCTTCTGTAACTATCACAAGTGATCCTCTGTAACTATCACAAGTGATCCTCTGTAACTATCACAAATACCTTCTGTAACTATGACAAGTGATCCTCTATAACTATCACAAGTGATCCTCAGTAACTATCACAAGTGATCCTCAGTAACTATCACAAGTGATCCTCTATAACTATCACAAGTGACCCTCTGTAACTATCACAAGTGATCCTCTGTAACTATCACAAGTGACCTTTTGTAACTATCACAAGTGATCCTCTGTAACTATCACAAGTGATCCTCTGTAACTATCACAAGTGACCTTTTGTAACTATCACAAGTGATCCTCTGTAACTATCACAAGTGACCTTTTGTAACTATCACAAGTGACCCTCTGTAACTATCACAAGTGATCCTCTGTAACTATCACAAGTGGCCTTTTGTAACTATCACAAGTGATCCTCTGTAACTTTCACAAGTGACCTTTTGTAACTATCACAAGTGACCCTCTGTAACTATCACAAGTGATCCTCTGTAACTATCACAAGTGACCTTTTGTAACTATCACAAGTGATCCTCTGTAACTTTCACAAGTGACCTTTTGTAACTATCACAAGTGACCTTTTGTAACTATCACAAGTGACCTTTTGTAACTATCACAAGTGACCCTCTGTAACTATCACAAGTGATCCTCTGTAACTATCACAAGTGACCTTTTGTAACTATCACAAGTGACCCTCTGTAACTTTCACAAGCGACCCTCTGTAACTATCACAAGTGACCCTCTGTAACTATCACAAGTGACCTTTTGTAACTATCACAAGTGACCTTTTGTAACTATCACAAGTGACCCTCTGTAACTTTCACAAGCGACCCTCTGTAACTATCACAAGCGACCCTCTGTAACTATCACAAGTGACCTTTTGTAACTATCACAAGTGGCCCTCTGTAACTTTCACAAGCGACCCTCTGTAACTATCACAAGCGACCCTCTGTAACTTTCACAAGCGACCCTCTGTAACTATCACAAGTGGCCCTCTGTAACTATCACAAGTGACCTTTTGTAACTATCACAAGTGACCTTTTGTAACTATCACAAGTGACCCTCTGTAACTTTCACAAGCGACCCTCTGTAACTATCACAAGCGATCCTCTGTAACTTTCACAAGCGATCCTCTGTAACTATCACAAGTGATCCTCTGTAACTATCACAAGTGACCTTTTGTAACTATCACAAGTGACCTTTTGTAACTATCACAAGTGACCCTCTGTAACTTTCACAAGCGACCCTCTGTAACTATCACAAGCGATCCTCTGTAACTTTCACAAGCGATCCTCTGTAACTATCACAAGCGATCCTCTGTAACTATCACAAGTGATCCTCTGTAACTATCACAAGTGACCTTTTGTAACTATCACAAGTGATCCTCTGTAACTATCACAAGTGATCCTCTGTAACTATCACAAGTGATCCTCTGTAACTATCACAAGTGATCCTCTGTAACTATCACAAGTGATCCTCTGTAACTATCACAAGTGACCTTTTGTAACTATCACAAGTGACCCTCTGTAACTTTCACAAGCGACCCTCTGTAACTATCACAAGTGATCCTCTGTAACTATCACAAGTGACCCTCTGTAACTATCACAAGTGACCCTCTGTAACTATCACAAATGACCTTTTGTAACTATCACAAGTGACCCTCTGTAACTATCACAAGTGACCCTCTGTAACTATCACAAATGACCTTTTGTAACTATCACAAGTGACCCTCTGTAACTTTCACAAGCGACCCTCTGTAACTATCACAAGTGATCCTCTGTAACTATCACAAGTGACCCTCTGTAACTATCACAAATGACCTTTTGTAACTATCACAAGTGACCCTCTGTAACTATCACAAATGACCTTTTGTAACTATCACAAGTGACCCTCTGTAACTTTCACAAGTGGCCCTCTGTAACTATCACAAGTGATCCTCTGTAACTATCACAAGTGATCCTCTGTAACTATCACAAGTGACCCTCTGTAACTATCACAAGCGACCCTCTGTAACTATCACAAGTGACCCTCTGTAACTATCACAAGCGACCCTCTGTAACTATCACAAGCGACCCTCTGTAACTATCACAAGTGACCCTCTGTAACTTTCACAAGTGATCCTCTGTAACTATCACAAGTGATCCTCTGTAACTATCACAAGTGACCCTCTGTAACTATCACAAGTGGCCCTCTGTAACTATCACAAGTGATCCTCTGTAACTATCACAAGTGGCCCTCTGTAACTATCACAAGTGGCCCTCTGTAACTATCACAAGTGATCCTCTGTAACTATCACAAGTGACCCTCTGTAACTATCACAAGTGGCCCTCTGTAACTATCACAAGTGATCCTCTGTAACTATCACAAGTGACCTTTTGTAACTATCACAAGTGACCTTTTGTAACTATCACAAGTGACCCTCTGTAACTATCACAAGTGACCTTTTGTAACTATCACAAGTGACCCTCTGTAACTATCACAAGTGACCTTTTGTAACTATCACAAGTGACCCTCTGTAACTATCACAAATGACCTTTTGTAACTATCACAAGTGACCCTCTGTAACTTTCACAAGCGACCCTCTGTAACTATCACAAGTGACCCTCTGTAACTATCACAAGTGATCCTCTGTAACTATCACAAATGACCTTTTGTAACTATCACAAGCGACCCTCTGTAACTATCACAAGTGATCCTCTGTAACTATCACAAGTGACCCTCTGTAACTATCACAAGTGATCCTCTGTAACTATCACAAGTGACCTTTTGTAACTATCACAAGTGATCCTCTGTAACTATCACAAGCGATTCTCTGTAACTATCACAAGTGATCCTCTGTAACTATCACAAGTGACCCTCTGTAACTTTCACAAGCGACCCTCTGTAACTATCACAAGTGATCCTCTGTAACTATCACAAGTGATCCTCTATAACTATCACAAGTGATCCTCTATAACTATCACAAGTGATCCTCTATAACTATCACAAGTGATCCTCTGTAACTATCACAAGTGATCCTCTTTAACTATTACAAATGCCTTCTGTAACTATGACAAGTGACGCTCTGTAACTAACACAAGTGACCCTCTGTAATTAACACAAGTGACCCTCTGTAACTAACACAAGTGACCCTCTGCAACTAACACAAGTGACCCTCTGTAACTAACACAAGTGACCCTCTGTAACTAACACAAGTGACCCTCTGTAACTAACACAGGTGACCCTCTGTAACTAACATAAGTGAGCCTCTGTAACTAACACAGGTGATCCTCTGTAACTAACATAAGTGAGCCTCTGTAACTAACACAAGTGACCCTCTGTAACTAACACAAGTGACCCTCTGCAACTAACACAAGTGACCCTCTGTAACTAACACAAGTGACCCTCTGTAACTAACACAAGGTGACCCTCTGTAACTAACATAAGTGAGCCTAATTCTACGTCCTGGAAAGACGAAGAATTACGTAAAAACAAACTCCCGGGGAGCGTATTGGGAGAACTCTGGGTAGTATAGGATGGACGGGCACATGAGTACGTGTTGTTGAGTGTGCGCTGACCTGCCCAGCATGAGGCAAGTCGCCTACTGCTGTGCGCCTTTATTATTATACATTATTATTATTATTATTATTATAATCAAAAAGAAGCGCTAAGCCACAAGGTCTATACAGCTATTATTATACAACTTTGTAACCTGTGTCCTCCTGCTGCAGGATGCTGCAGAAGGCTCACCGTCACCCCACCTACATGAACATGAACTGCGTGGATCCGCTGGGTCGAGGCGCCTTACACATGTCCATCTCTAACGAGAACTTGGAGATGGTGGAACTGTTGGTGGTGATGGGTGTGGAGACCAAGGACGCCCTCCTACATGCCATCGATGCTGAGTTCGTGGAGGCCGTGGAGGTCTTACTTGAACACGAGGAGGTGATCCACAAGGAGGGAGACACTTACGTGAGTGTGATAATTATCTCATCATCAGCTTGACTAGTCATAGACCGAGATGAACCTTTGTTCGCCTCTTGAAAATAAATATTAAAACCTTCTTTCTTCTATATACATAATATTTGCAAAACTATGTATATAACATTATATCATTTTAATCTAAAGCCGCCCATGTATAAGTTTAACATTGAACTATAAATAAATATCAGCCGCAGTTACTAATGTACAACAACTGAGAAAATGTGTGTTATATAATTACTGAGGTGCCTGTAGGGACCTCGGGGAACTTAAAGGAGGGTCTTTTGACATTAAGTTTATTTTATTTTTAAGTGATGTTGTGTAATTTAACCTGGTGTGATGTAATTGATTGATAGTGTTTGTGTTTTATTCATGTTAGTACTTTCATTGTTGTTAATAATTTTAACGCGAATGTTTTTTATGTATTGTATTCATTGTTCTATTGCTAAGATCGCTGAAAAATCATGCAGGTCAGAACGCTGTTTAAATGTTGAAACTACCTACCTACGTACCTACCTAATTATCTATATGTATTGTAATACTCCGTAGAATTACATAATAATATCAGTATTATTAATTGCATAATTCCTTCAGTAAAGTGCCCATAGTTTAAGCTGACTCGTTTTGACTTTATTATTTTTATCCTAGGTTAAATCAACGTAATATAACTTTAATATGCCCATAACATGTGTGTGCCGTCAAGACCACTGTAAAAAAAAACCTGTATAACAATTTACAGTCGTGGGAGAAAGCTGACCGCAACACCTCAGCCTTCACGCCAGAGATCACCCCGCTCATCCTAGCAGCTCACAGGGATAACTACGAGATTCTCAAGATCCTGCTGGACCGTGGTGCTACTCTACCCATGCCTCATGATATTAGGTGAGGCAAATTAACACACACACACACACACACACACACACACAATGGTAGTATGTGTGCCACTAACAACAATCTTCAACACATCTAACGAAACAAGGCAACTACTTGAGGTGTCGAAGGCGGCAAATGTAGTCCCAGTCTTTAAGGAGACAGGTAAGTGGTATAAAACTACAGACTAGTGTCACTAACGTGCATAGTATGCAGAGTCATGGAGAAGCTTATCAGTAAAAGATTGGTGGAGCACCTGGAAACGAATGAAATTATACGCGATAACCAGCACGATTTCAGGGAGAGAAAATCCTGCGTCACAAACCTGCTGGAGTTTTACGACAAGATGACAGAAATAAGGCAGGGAAGAGAAGGGTGGGTAGACTGTACTTTCTTGGACTGCAAGAAAGCCTTCGACACAGCTCCGCACAAAAGATTAGTACAAAAGCTAGATGAGCAGGTAGGAATAACAGGAAAGACAATGCAATGGATCAGAGAATACCCGACAGGAAGGAAACAACGAGTGATAGTACGTGACGAGATGTCAAAGTGGGCGCCAGTGACGATCGGAGTTCCACAAGGGTCAGTCCTAGAACCTGGAGATACCTGACCAGTGCTGTTTCTGGTATATGTGAATGACATGAAGGGAGGGAAAGATTCAGAGGTGTCCCTGTCTGCAGACTATGTTAAGCTAATGCGGAAAATTCAAGTGGATGAGGATCAGGCGGATCTACAAAAGGATCTGGACAGTCTAACAACTGGCTTCTGAATTTTAACCCCACCAAATGGAAAGTCATGAAAATTGGAGAAGGTGAAAGAAGACCGCAGACAGAGTACAGGCTAGAGGGCCAAAGATTGCAAACCTCACTCAAGGAAAAGGATTTTGGGGTGAGTATAATACTGAGCACATCTCCTGAGGCACTGCTGCAACATATGGGCGCCTGGCAAACCTAAGGTTAGCGTTTCGACACCTGAAAGGAATCATTCAAGACTCTGTACACCGTGTATGTCAGGCCCATATCGGATTATGAAGCACCAGTACGAAACCCACACCTGATCAAGCAAGTCAAGAAATTAGAGAAAGTGAAAAGGTTTGCAGTAACACTAGTCCCGGAGCTAAGGGATATGTCCTACGAGGAGAGTTAAGGAAAATTAATCTGATGACACTGGAGGACATGATAACGATATACTGAGCGGAATAGATAGGGTGGATAGGGACAGAATGTTTCAGAGATGAGACACAGCAACAAAGGGACACAACTGGAAGTTGAAAACTCAGATGAATCACAGGGATGTTGGGAAGTATTTCTTCAGCCATAGAGTTGTCAGGAAGTGGAACGATCTGGAGAGTGATGAAGTAGAGACAGGATCCATACATAGCTTTAATAAAGAGATACAACCAAGTTCATGGTGCAGGGGGAGAGTGCACCTAGTACCGACCAGCGAAGAGGCGGGGCCAGGAGCTGTGAATCGACCCTGCAGCCACAAATAGGTCAGCACAAACACACACACACTGATAGCTCTACTTTCATTTTTGCTTTTCTCCGCATGAACACCTGTCATCGGTATCGATTTTATTAGTGATACCAGGATATATACCAGGAGGCGTATATATTTCAATGTATATACACCGAAAGTCTACTTTAATTCCCATTTTAAGATTTAAAGTATTATTGACTAATGGCGAACAGATTGTTTGCAGCCTTAATAACCCTCGTGTAGTCAATAGGCTTTAAACTTCATTAACCAACTAACTCCACCACTTCGAGTTGAATAACCACACGGGTTTAGCGCCTAATATAATTAATACTTACCCATCCTCCTCCTCCACACAGATGTGGTTGTCCCGAGTGTATCAAGTCTTCCTCTGAAGATTCATTGCGTCACTCTAGGTCCAGGATCAACGCCTACCGTGCCCTGGCTTCTCCTTCACTCATTGCACTCTCCTCCACCGACCCCATCCTCACAGCCTTCCAGCTCTCACTCGAGCTGAAGAGTCTGGCCTACACTGAGCACGAGTTCAGGGCTGAGTATTTGGTGAGTACCAGTCTTATACTTGATAAGCTCTTACCTTCACTATTGACATTAAATTGTAAATGAAGAGAGAGAGAGAGAGAGAGAGAGAGAGAGAGAGAGAGAGAGAGAGAGAGAGAGAGAGAGAGAGAGAGAGAGAGAGAGAGAGAGAGGGAGGGAGGGAGAGGGAGAGAGGGAGTGGGAGAGAGAGAGAGAGAGAGAGAGAGGGAGGGAGAGGGAGAGAGGGAGTGGGAGAGAGAGAGAGAGAGGGGAGAGAGAGAGAGAGAGAGAGAGAGGGGGGGAGAGAGAGAGAGAGAGAGAATATTTACATTTGGGAGATCAGCTCAGGTATCTTGGTGTAAATGGGATGGAAAATGGAATTAAATTGGGGAGACAACTTCGATAAATAAATATTATGGGAATAATCAGAATTGTGAATGTGTAAACTCTCAAGCAGATTCAAACATTATGAACGGTTCTGTAGAAAATAATAATATATTTTAAGGTAGAATTTAACACAATGAACTCTGCTGCTGAATATAAAAATACTATTATTGATAATGTTAGAGTATATACACTTAGAGGTAGAATAGTTTGTGGGGTGAGTTGTGCAAAGAACCATCCAAGTTGTGTCGGCGCGCGTCAGGTGTTTAACCGTTGTGGGATCTGATAGTGAGGTGCTGGCCAGACCCCTTATATATCTTCCTTGGATGCTTTACTTTCATAGTTCCTTGATAATGTGAGTAGTCACGAAAGCGCTTGGAATTTCTCTATTCTTTCAGAGTGGTTGTTTTGCATACGTCTCCTTGTATATATACACTAAGAGTTTACTTTTATCACTGTTTCACTGACTATAGTATTCCATGTTTGGTGGTGAGCAGTTGACATGTAGCCTTAATAACACTCGTGTGTCGATAAACTTTAAACCCAGTTAACCTTTCAATTATAACAGGAGCTTCGTAACAAGTGCATGAAGTTCGCTGAAGAGCTGCTGAGTCACGCTAGGTCATCCACTGAGTTAGCGGTGATGTTAAACTACGACCCTGACTCTGTAGTGCCCTACGAGGAGGGTAAACACATGACCCTCAAGCGACTCGAACTGGCCATTGACTGCAAGCAGAAGAAGGTGAACAACCAACTCTCTTACCACAGAGTTCCGCTGAAGTTACCGCATTTTTCTATAATTCAGAGACATTTTACGCTGGAATAGCCTATATCTGACGACTTTATTTTACCCAAAGTGAGGCCCTGTCACCCACAGCGAGGCTATATCACCTACAGTGAGGTTCTATCACCCATAGTGAGACTATATCACCCATAGTGAGACTATATCACCTACAGTGAGGTTATATCACCCATAGTGAGACTATATCACCCACAGTGAGGTTATATCACCCATAGTGAGACTATGTCACCTACAGTGAGGTTATATCACCCATAGTGAGACTATATCACCCACAGTGAGGTTATATCACCCATAGTGAGACTATATCACCTACAGTGAGGTTATATCACCCATAGTGAGACTATATCACCCATAGTGAGACTATATCACCCATAGTGAGACTATATCACCCATAGTGAGACTATATCACCCATAGTGAGACTATATCACCCATAGTGAGACTATATCACCCATAGTGAGACTATATCACCCATAGTGAGACTATATCACCCATAGTGAGACTATATCACCCATAGTGAGACTATATCACCCATAGTGAGACTATATCACCTACAGTGAGGTTATATCACCCATAGTGAGACTATATCACCCATAGTGAGACTATATCACCCATAGTGAGACTATATCACCTACAGTGAGACTATATCACCCATAGTGAGACTATATCACCCATAGTGAGACTATATCACCTACAGTGAGGTTATATCACCCATAGTGAGACTATATCACCTACAGTGAGGTTATATCACCCATAGTGAGACTATATCACCCATAGTGAGACTATATCACCCATAGTGAGACTATATCACCTACAGTGAGGTTATATCACCCATAGTGAGACTATATCACCCATAGTGAGGTATATCACCCATAGTGAGACTATATCACCCATAGTGAGACTATATCACCCATAGTGAGACTATATCACCTACAGTGAGGTTATATCACCCATAGTGAGACTATATCACCCATAGTGAGGTTATATCACCCATAGTGAGACTATATCACCCATAGTGAGACTATATCACCCATAGTGAGACTATATCACCTACAGTGAGGTTATATCACCCATAGTGAGACTATATCACCTACAGTGAGACTATATCACCTACAGTGAGGTTATATCACCCATAGTGAGACTATATCACCCATAGTGAGACTATATCACCTACAGTGAGACTATATCACCTACAGTGAGACTATATCACCTACAGTGAGGTTATATCACCCATAGTGAGACTATATCACCCATAGTGAGACTATATCACCCATAGTGAGACTATATCACCTACAGTGAGGTTATATCACCCATAGTGAGACTATATCACCCATAGTGAGGTTTTAATATCACCCATAGTGAGACTATATCACCATAGTGAGACTATATCACCCATAGTGAGACTATATCACCTACAGTGAGGTTATATCACCCATAGTGAGACTATATCACCCATAGTGAGACTATATCACCTACAGTGAGACTATATCACCTACAGTGAGACTATATCACCTACAGTGAGACTATATCACCTACAGTGAGACTATATCACCTACAAGTGAGACTATATCACCTACAGTGAGACTATATCACCTACAGTGAGACTATATCACCTACAGTGAGACTATATCACCTACAGTGAGACTATATCACCTACAGTGAGACTATATCACCTACGTGAGACTATATCACCTACAGTGAGACTATATCACCTACAGTGAGACTATATCACCATACAATCAGGTTTATAATCACCCATAGTGAGACTATATCACCCATAGTGAGACTATATCACCTACAGTGAGACTATATCACCTACAGTGAGACTATATCACCTACAGTGAGACTATATCACCTACAGTGAGACTATATCACCTACAGTGAGGTTATATCACCCATAGTGAGACTATATCACCCATAGTGAGACTATATCACCTACAGTGAGACTATATCACCTACAGTGAGACTATATCACCCTAGTGAGACTATATCACCTAAGTGAGACTATATCACCTACAGTGAGGTTATATCACCCATAGTGAGACTATATCACCCATAGTGAGACTATATCACCCATAGTGAGACTATATCACCTACAGTGAGACTATATCACCTACAGTGAGACTATATCACCTACAGTGAGACTATATCACCTACAGTGAGGTTATATCACCCATAGTGAGACTATATCACCCATAGTGAGACTATATCACCTACAGTGAGGTTATATCACCCATAGTGAGACTATATCACCCATAGTGAGACTATATCACCTACAGTGAGACTATATCACCCATAGTGAGACTATATCACCTACAGTGAGACTATATCACCCATAGTGAGACTATATCACCCTAACGTGAGACTATATCACCCATAGTGAGACTATATCACCCATAGTGAGACATTCACCAGTGAGGTTATCACCCATAGTGAGACTATATCACCTACAGTGAGGCTATATCACCCATAGTGAGACTATATCACCCATAGTGAGACTATATCACCCATAGTGAGATACTAATATCCACCCATAGTGAGTACCTAATATCACCCATAGTGAGACTATATCACCTACAGTGAGACTATCACCCATAGTGAGACTAATAAACACCCATAGTTGAACTATAATTATCACCATAGTGAGACTATATCACCCATAGTGAGACTATATCACCCATAGTGAGACTATATCACCTACAGTGAGGTTATATCACCCATAGTGAGACTATATCACCTACAGTGAGGTTATATCACCCATAGTGAGACTATATCACCCATAGTGAGACTATATCACCCATAGTGAGACTATATCACCCATAGTGAGACTATATCACCCATAGTGAGATATATCACCCTATGAACTATACACCCATAGTGAGACATATCACCCATAGTGAGACTATATCACCCATAGTGAGACTATATCACCTACAGTGAGGTTATATCACCCATAGTGAGACTATATCACCCATAGTGAGACTATATCACCCATAGTGAGACTATATCACCCATAGTGAGACTATATCACCCATAGTGAGACTATATCACCCATAGTGAGACTATATCACCCATAGTGAGACTATATCACCCATAGTGAGACTATATCACCCATAGTGAGACTATATCACCCATAGTGAGACTACATCACCCATAGGGAGACTATATCACCCATAGTGAGACTATATCACCCATAGTGAGACTATATCACCCATAGTGAGACTATATCACCCATAGTGAGACTATATCACCCATAGTGAGACTATATCACCCATAGTGAGACTATATCACCCATAGTGAGACTATATCACTCACAGTGAGACTATATCACTCACAGTGAGACTATATCACTCACAGTGAGGCTATATCACTCACAGTGAGACTATATCACTCACAGTGAGGCTATATCACCCATAGTGAGGCTATATCACTCACAGTGAGGGTATATCACTCACAGTGAGGCTATATCACTCACAGTGAGACTATATCACTCACAGTGAGGCTATATCACTCACAGTGAGGCTATATCACTCACAGTGAGGCTATATCACTCACAGTGAGGCTATATCACCCACAGTGAGGCTATATCACCCACAGTGAGGCTATATCACTCACAGTGAGGCTATATCACTCACAGTGAGGCTATATCACCCACAGTGAGGCTATATCACTCACAGTGAGGCTATATCACTCACAGTGAGACTATATCACCCACAGTGAGGCTATATCACCCACAGTGAGGCTATATCACCCACAGTGAGGCTATATCACCCACAGTGAGGCTATATCACTCACAGTGAGGCTATATCACCCACAGTGAGGCTATATCACTCACAGTGAGGCTATATCACTCACAGTGAGGCTATGTCACCCACAGTGAGGCTATATCACTCACAGTGAGGCTATGTCACCCACAGTGAGGCTATATCACTCACAGTGAGGCTATATCACTCACAGTGAGGCTATATCACCCACAGTGAGGCTATATCACCCACAGTGAGGCTATATCACCCACAGTGAGGCTATATCACTCACAGTGAGGCTATATCACCCACAGTGAGGCTATATCACTCACAGTGAGGCTATATCACTCACAGTGAGGCTATGTCACCCACAGTGAGGCTATATCACTCACAGTGAGGCTATGTCACCCACAGTGAGGCTATATCACCCACAGTGAGGCTATATCACTCACAGTGAGGCTATATCACTCACAGTGAGGCTATATCACTCACAGTGAGGGTATATCACTCACAGTGAGGCTATGTCACCCACAGTGAGGCTATATCACCCACAGTGAGGCTATATCACTCACGGTGAGGCTATATCACTCACAGTGAGGGTATATCACTCACAGTGAGGCTATATCACTCACGGTGAGGGTATATCACTCACAGTGAGGCTATATCACTCACAGTGAGGCTATATCACTCACAGTGAGGCTATATCACTCACAGTGAGGGTATATCACTCACAGTGAGGCTATATCACTCACGGTGAGGGTATATCACTCACAGCGAGGGTATATCACTCACAGTGAGGGTATATCACTCACAGTGAGGGTATATCACTCACGGTGAGGCTATATCACTCACAGTGAGGCTATGTCACCCACAGTGAGGCTATATCACTCACAGTGAGGCTATGTCACCCACAGTGAGGCTATATCACCCACAGTGAGGCTATATCACTCACGGTGAGGGTATATCACTCACAGTGAGGCTATATCACTCACAGTGAGGCTATATCACTCACAGCGAGGGTATATCACTCACAGTGAGGGTATATCACCCACAGTGAGGCTATATCACTCACGGTGAGGGTATATCACTCACAGTGAGGCTATATCACTCACAGTGAGGCTATATCACTCACAGCGAGGGTATATCACTCACAGTGAGGCTATATCACCCACAGTGAGGCTATATCACTCACGGTGAGGGTATATCACTCACAGTGAGGCTATATCACTCACAGTGAGGCTATATCACTCACAGCGAGGGTATATCACTCACAGTGAGGGTATATCACTCACAGTGAGGGTATATCACTCACGGTGAGGGTATATCACTCACAGTGAGGCTATATCACTCACAGTGAGGCTATATCACTCACAGTGAGGCTATATCACTCACAGTGAGGGTATATCACCCACAGTCAGGCTGTATCCGGCAATATCACTTACTTTATAAAGTCCCACAATGGATGACAAGTCGTACATTAATACGGTTCTCCCTGCTTTCGAGTAACCACTTCTCGGTTTGCAATACTGTCTAGATAGAGTTGTGTTTATAAGTGTGTTGTTATTATAAGTGAATGAGTACATGTTGATTAATGGCACCTGCCATGACACCTGTCTTATTGCTATCACCTTTGTGGAATGTATACACATCGAGAGGTGTAACTCTCATTATGTATACAAGTGGTGACTCAATGCATATAAATCTTGAAGTGTGACTCAGTGTATATTCATCTAGTGTGATTCAGTGTATATATATAATATATATATATATATATATATATATATATATATATATATATATATATATATATATATATATATGTATGTATATATATAAAATATATATATATATATATATATATATATATATATATATATAAATATATATATTATATATATATATATATATATATATATATAGTGCATTGATGCTGGTGGCTCTTGATCCATGCAATTATGACTACCCTCCCCTTCCTCGGATCAAACTTAAGTACCTTCCATTCCTCAGGAGCTATATGACCACAACGAGTTCAGCCTTTCTAATTTGCTTCTTCGTGTCCCACAGTTTGTCGCCCATCCTAACATTCAGCAGCTGCTGGCGGCACTCTGGTACGAGGGTGTTCCAGGCTTCAGGAGGAAGGCGGTTACTGAGAAGTGTTTGGAGATACTGAAGGTGAGACTCTCTCTCTCTCTCTCTCTCTCTCTCTCTCTCTCTCTCTCTCTCTCTCTCTCTCTCTCTCTCTCTCTCTCTCTCTCTCTCACTCTCTCTGGGAACTTTCTTGCACTGTAGTCGTCTATGTATTTCGTTATAATGTAATTACTACTTTTCCTTAATTTATTACATTTCATTAGCTTTATTCAGTTAGCTGAATAACAATATGTGTTGTAGTGACAATTTCATTTTTACAAAAGTTGTGTTTCTGTCATGCGATTATCAAACGTAGGATCAAGCCTGCAGTGTTGTGCTTCCTGCTCTGAGCGACCCACAACCCGTTTAGAGTTTGATACAGTAAATATAACAATAATAAATTGTTTAGACAGGCGCTTGAGATGTGATAATTGTGGTGTATGACTGATGGTTGTAAGTTACCCAGGTGGTGGTATTGTTCCCGGTGTACTGTGTGTGGTACATGGTACTACCTGACAGTGTCATGGGTAAACTCATGAGGACACCGTTCATGAAGTTCCTCACTCACTCCTCTTCTTACCTCTTCTTCCTGCGTAAGTAATTCTTCATCGCTGTTTGTGTGTGTGTGTTCACTTGTACTATGTATATTACTGTGTTAAGTTAGCTCAAGTTAAGTACTTTCTTACCATATTATAATAATTGTCATTACTTTCTTCAGTTATTGTTTAATGAGCTACTTTATTTTCTTTTGTTTAATGATAAATACTATGGATTTGCATCATTTGCGTACTCGGTACATTTTCCCTATTATAATTAGCCCCATTATTATATTATTCAACAAATTAACCTTTTCTCCGCATATAGGTTTATGTTAATTTGCAGTATCAATTAGTTGTATTTATATTTACCGTGGTACTGTACCTGTGTTGTTCGTTTATCAAGATGTTCCATCTTGCAGTGTTGTTGATCTTGGTGTCTGTACGGTTCGAAAATTTGGTAATCTGGTTGTTCGGAACGGCGTCGATGAGGCTGAACCTGGAGGAGTCTATGAGGCGTCAAAGAGGCAACTTACCCACTCCTACTGAGTGTGTAGTGGCTCTTTGGGTGTTCGGTACGTCAAAACTTCCTTCGTAATCTGTCATGAGGCCGGGAAGATAAGAACAACACTTCATTTCAAATGAATACCAATTTATCTTGTAAACAAGGCGTTATGTGGACTCAAACCGTATATGCCTAACACGGGGTCGAGCCCGTTTAAGCCAGGGGTCATTCCCTTACCTGGTTAACACTGCATCAAACATGTACACGACTTTTTACACCATTTGTTGCCTTGAAGAAATATTAAAACAATAATATAGAACATTAAGAAAATAATCGAATTAATTCACCTTGCTATTGCAGTGTCTCAAAATGTGTTGTTGTTAATGCAGCAACGACAGCAGTGAGGATTGTGCGTCTCTATTGCAGGTTTCCTGTGGGAGGAGGTGAAGGAGATCCACGTAGAGAGTTTCAACAAGTATATCAAGAACATGTGGAACCTTATGGACATCCTGCGTGACGGTCTCTACGTCATCACCATCTTCCTCAGGATCTTTGCTTACATCCAGCAGAACCAGGAGATCGCGAGAGTGCCTGCGGTCAGTACATGGGAAAGACAGCAGAGATCTTGGCTCTGCGGGCAGTACATGGGAAAGACAGATAGCAGAAGACTTGGAATCCCACACTGAGGCTATATGCTTTGAGGAACTATCTACCACTATCTAGATTAATGGCTATCGTGTCTTGTCCAGGTTCCTAACCTGGATAATACATGATAATAATGCATCAAGTAATGCATTATTAGTCTTGTGATTGCTGAACTAAGGATTGAACTATCATATTTTTTTCCTGAAAGACGTCACACAGAATAATAATAATTAATAATAATAATAATAATAACAATAATAATAATAATAATAATATTTCGTTAGTGTCACTTCAGGCAATCACTCTATTATAATCCCTAAGTCATTAAAAGCTGGCAGATTTCATCCAGTAATGTAACAAACATTGTGTGTAGTGGTGGTGGAACATAAGTGGGTAACATAGCTAACTTTTGTTTCACTGTGTAACTTTCATATAGACTAGGGCAGCAACACACTACTGATGTGCCAATCTTTGTTAAATTAAGTAAGTCACATTGAGAATATCTTCGTGGTAGCAAGACATCATTCATCCCTCTATCGACAGGAATAAATTACCCCTTACACTACTCCCTTAGCAATAAATTGCCATTTAGTGGATCCTCTTTACCATTTAAGAGTCTCATAAAAAGAACTAACTCTGCGCAGTTTTCCATTAGCATTAAATCCCCTAAATCATCCTTTACATTATCGGCTTTGTATTATATTGACTTTAGTGTCTCATTGGAAATAATCTTTTACACTGCAACAAATTAACTTCCACATTGTCCTTGCAACAAATTAACTTCCACATTGTCCTTGCAACAAATTAACTTCCACATTGTCCTTGCAACAAATTAACTTCCACATTGTCCTTGCAACAAATTAACTTCCACATTGTCCTTGCAACAAATTAACTTCCACATTGTCCTTGCAACAAATTAACTTCCACATTGTCCTTGCAACAAATTAACTTCCACATTGTCCTTGCAACAAATTAACTTCCACATTGTCCTTGCAACAAATTAACTTCCACATTGTCCTTGCAACAAATTAACTTCCACATTGTCCTTGCAACAAATTAACTTCCACATTGTCCTTGCAACAAATTAACTTCCACATTGTCCTTGCAACAAATTAACTTCCACATTGTCCTTGCAACAAATTAACTTCCACATTGTCCTTGCAACAAATTAACTTCCACATTGTCCTTGCAACAAATTAACTTCCACATTGTCCTTGCAACAAATTAACTTCCACATTGTCCTTGCAACAAATTAACTTCCACATTGTCCTTGCAACAAATTAACTTCCACATTGTCCTTGCAACAAATTAACTTCCACATTGTCCTTGCAACAAATTAACTTCCACATTGTCCTTGCAACAAATTAACTTCCACATTGTCCTTGCAACAAATTAACTTCCACATTGTCCTTGCAACAAATTAACTTCCACATTGTCCTTGCAACAAATTAACTTCCACATTGTCCTTGCAACAAATTAACTTCCACATTGTCCTTGCAACAAATTAACTTCCACATTGTCCTTGCAACAAATTAACTTCCACATTGTCCTTGCAACAAATTAACTTCCACATTGTCCTTGCAACAAATTAACTTCCACATTGTCCTTGCAACAAATTAACTTCCACATTGTCCTTGCAACAAATTAACTTCCACATTGTCCTTGCAACAAATTAACTTCCACATTGTCCTTGCAACAAATTAACTTCCACATTGTCCTTGCAACAAATTAACTTCCACATTGTCCTTGCAACAAATCACTTTTCATGTACTGTTCATTATAGTAAATATTTTTTCCCGCCGACCTCTAGAATAAGGTGTTTCTTAATAGACAAATAACCAACATATAGGAGACTGAAAATTATGGCGATGTTTCGGTCCGACTTGGATCATTAACTAGTCATAAAGTTAACGGTTCAAGTCGAACTGAAACGTCGTCATACGTTTCAGTCTCTTACGTGCGGGTTATATGTGTATTGTTCCAGTCACAGTATTGTGCCTTTTCATTAAGGTGTTTGTTGTGACATGTGACCCCTGGCGTGTTTTCAGACGGCGTTCATCCCCCGCGAGGAGTGGAACACCTTCGACCCGCAGCTCATCTCTGAGGGGCTCTTCGCTGCAGCCAACATCCTGTCGGCGTTGAAGCTGGTGCACATCTTCAGCATCAACCCTTACCTGGGTCCCCTCCAGATCTCCCTCGGTCGCATGGTCATCGATATTGTCAAGTTCTTCTTCATATACACGCTCGTTCTGTTTGCCTTTGCTTGTGGTAAGAACTCGAAAAAGTACTCATGGGGTCAAGTCTCAGCAACTGAGCAGCAAGTTTGAAAGGTTAATTATACACCTCATATACCCGTCCCGTGGACGGTAAACAGAAAGATTAGAAGTCTGTAATGGGTTCGGGGACCTAGCCCCAATATTTTATTAGTTAAATCAACAGGTTTTGTCGTTACTCGTTTAGTTTGTTCTTAGTCCAGTCTCTATTACCTATTTGATCTGTTCTTTCCTGGCCGTCATGGGCTCTATCGTACCTGTTCTAGAAATTATGTGTGGAATTTGTCTCCCATACTTTCTCACGTAGCTAATCCTACTGCATTGTCACCCTATGATTGACTCTAGTTCTCTCCTCTAATGTTAACTTTAGTACCTTAATTTTCTCCTGTAGTAGCAGCCCCCTGAACCCTGGAACCAATTTAGTTTCGATTTCCTGAATCTTCTCGATTTTCTGAATATGAACAGATGTGGGTTCCATGCTGGTGCTGCATACTCTGAGATAAACCTGAAATAAGTCGTGTGGGTGCAGTGATGTGTGAGGATGTTACTAGTATTAGTACACAAAGCTGTGATAACAATGTAATGTTAAACTTGCAGGTTTGACACAACTACTCTGGTATTACAACGACCTGGAAAAACAGAAGTGCTACTCCCTGCCTGGCGGTCTGCCGGACTGGACCAAACAGAGCGACGCTTGCATGAAGTGGCGACGATTCCACAAGTGAGTTACTCTAGTTTTACTTTCCTCTTTAATTTAAGATTCACAAAGAAAATTTGTTTCCCTTCCTCCAAAATGACGTGAGACAGTCTCCTTACGAGACATTTTTAATAACACTAGACATATTTTCTATCCTCATGGGGTTTAAATGTGTTTTTTAAACTCTCGAAATTGAAAGCATAATTTTTCTCATCCATACCATCTTTATTTGTAACTCCCGTGTTTATATCGTTAATAAAAAAATATTTTCGCCATCTAGACTTTTTAATTGTTTTTCTATATATAGTTATCTCTATGGTCTTCCCCAGCCTGTTCGAGTCATCGCAGTCACTGTTCTGGGCAGGTTTTGGCATGGTAGGTCTGGGAGACTTTGAGCTGACTGGGATCCGTGAGTACACTCGCTTCTGGTCCATGTTGATGTTCGGCTCGTACTCCGTGATCAACATTATTGTCTTACTCAACCTCCTCATCGCCATGATGTCCAACTCCTACTCCTTCATCGTGGTAAGTCTCTCAAGACTCTTTAACGTTGTTAATGGTTCGTTCATAAAGTAAACATAAGACCACAGCCCTTAGTGGCTCACGAAATCGTACTAACACGATTGCAAACTAACCACAGAACGGGTGGGGATCGAACCCACGTCATGTGAGTAAACTCACAGGCCAGTGTGCTAACCATTGACCTGTGAAATTTAGGGCTGTAATAATGTTGGCAAAATTACCGACAATATGTTAGGTAAAAGAACCCAAGTGCAACCAATGCAACATTTTATTGTCCAAGAGCTTCGTCAAACCGCTACGGTTTAACAAATGTTTCCTTTAATAAATGTCATTAACGTAAGTGACTTTAGCCACATCTTGTCGGTATCGCCATATCATTGACACTCAGAGGTGTGTATAGCTGAGATACTGATGCAGTCACTGGCTCTCAGGAACACGCTGACACAGAGTGGAAGTTCGCCCGTACCAAACTGTGGATGTCTTACTTCGAGGAGGGTAATACACTGCCCCCGCCCTTCAATATCTTCCCCAATTTCAAGACCTTTCTCAGGATGTGCGGGAAGTCCAGCAGGAAGGCGGAGCTCGTGCGTAGAATGTCCTCCAGGGTGAGTACTCGAGAATTCTGAAGAATAATGTACTCCTGGGTGAGTACTCCCTCAGACTTGTATCAGTCTTCTTCCCTCACTATCATCAATCTTCCTCATTCACTACCATCAATCTTCCTCCCTCACTGTCATCAGTCTTCTTCAATCACTATCATCAATCTTCCTCCTCCCTCACTGTCATCAATCTTCCTCCCTCAGACTCACTCCCGACACAAAAAAGCGCGTGACTACCGCTACTTGTCAGTGATGCGCGCACTCATCTGGCGCTACGTGTGCGCCCTGCAGCGACGCAACGAGGAACGCCCGGTCAATGAGGATGACATCAGCGAGGTCAAGGGTGACATCTCGTCCCTGAGGTTCGAGCTCATTGACCTCTTCCAACACAACGGCATGGATGTCTCTCTGTGTGCCAAGAAGAGCAGAGGTACCGCTAGTCCTTTATCTCGTGGAGCTCCATGACCCGTCAGGGTTATTTTTAAAAAACTGATCAATTATCTAGTCCAAAAATCAGGGGATTTATAGATGGGCAGGACTTTCAGTTTTAAAATAATTATTGTGCTGTATATTTCATCAATATTTCAGTGAAAATTTAATCACCACAAATGAAATTTTTTTGGTACAACTCTACCAAAAACAACAAATATGAAAATCCATGGATATAATAACACCATTTTTTTCAAATTGCTGTTTATTATTTATATTTTTAATTAGCGTAGTACACAAAATTATGTAAACAGTGGAGTAGCACACTAGCAAATATAATATAAATAATTTTTATTTTAATCAGAAAGATAACTTGAACATTTTGACTTCGATATGAAGACCTCAGATCAGTGCCTTTTTTTTTTTTAAATATTTGAATATTTGGTTTCAATCACTGTATTATGCTAACCTGGCAAGGGTCATAAGGAAGATCAGCTCCAGTTCCTTGACACTAGAGCACTTTACTAGCATGAAGGCAGCAGACGTGAAGTGAACTGTACAGGGGTAACAACGTTGTGTGGTTACAGCGGCGCTGGGGCGCAAGATGCGCGTGTGGGAGCGCAGGTTGATGAGAGACTTCCACGTGTCACCTGCCATGGGTTCTGAAGACAACATGGTGGAGAAGGTGGAGGTGGAACCAGAAGAGGAAAGTGCCGCTGACAGGTTCCGTAGAGTGGCGCGTCTAGCCATGGCCAAGTCTACCTCTGGCATCACCGGCGGTACTACTGAGTATGTACCAGTGATATCTTTGTACCATTTAAGTCTTGTTTGTACCAGTGATATCTTCTTTGTACCATTTAAGTCTTGTTTGTACCAGTGATATCTTTGTACCATTTAAGTCTTGTTTGTACCAGTGATATCTTCTTTGTACCATTTAAGTCTTGTTTGTACCAATGATATCTTCTTTGTACCATTTAAGTCTTGTTTGTACCAGTGATATCTTTGTACCATTTAAGTCTTATTTGTACCAGTGATATCTTCTTTTGTACCATTTAAGTCTTGTTTGTACCAGTGATATCTTCTTTGTATCAGTGATATCTTTGTATCAGTGATGTCTTTGTACCATTTAAGTCTTGTTTGTCCCAGTGATATCTTTATACCAGTTAAGTCTTTGTTTGTACCAGTGATGTCTTCTTTGTACCAGTTAAGTCTTTGTTTGTACCAGTGATGTCTTCTTTATACTAGTTAAGTCTTTGTTTGTACCAGTGATGTCTTCTTTGTACCAGTTGTCTTGTTTGTACCAGTTTTCTTGTTTGTACAGTTAAATTTTGTTTGTACCAGTTATGGCCTCGGGTTATGAGCCAAAAGCGCTCTGAATCACCTAGTTTACAGTAGTTTTCGCTTTTCCACGTGATATATCAGCAGCTTCCAACCTGTGGTCTGCTAAGGTAGTATACCTGGAGTATACCAGGAGAGGGTTTCGGGGGTCAACGCCCCCCCGGGGCCGGGTCTGTGACCATAGATCCGTGAGCGAAGTTCAAAATTTCAAGAAGCTGTACACAAATAACCCGCACATAAAAGAGAGAAGCTTACGACGACGTTTCGGTCCGACTTGGACCATTGACAAAGTGTGACTTTGTCAATGGTCCAAGTCGGACCGAAACGTCGTCGTAAGCTTCTCTCTTTTATGTGCGGGTTATTTGTGTATCGTTCCAGTCACGGTATTGTGCCTTTTTGTTATTTCAAGATGCTGCACTGTGAAGTGTATAATTACTCACGATAAGCAAGTTCCAGATTTGTTTTAATGCTGTCATTTATTTAACTACATACTCAGTTATGTATTTCAAGTGAGAGATGAAACTGAGAAAAAAATGTTTGTTGTTAGTTAATAACATCGGTTTATTAAGTAGACACGCCTTTGAAAAACCTGGGATCGCTGGAAAAATTAATTGAAATAAAAGGAGTCTTTGCTGGTGAAAAGTTGAGGAACCGGAGTGCTAGACTGATACTGAATATTAATCCCCCCATATGTCTTTTAGCGAGTCATTAATGTAAATTACAAAAATTATAAGGTTTTTATGGCAAATTGCGAGAAACTTAGGAGCAAATTTTTATCGTATATACACATGCGCTAGGCTTGACCTTTGTAATATCTATTATTTACCCAAATCCCCATCCTGTACACTATTGTTATCTAGTAATGGACTCTTTACAAGAATAATGGGTTCATTTACAGTATTAATGAGGTATTTACAAAAAGCGTTCGGTTACAGTGTTAAAGAAGCGCTTACAGGAGTGACATGTTCATTTACAGCAGTAATAATATGTTTATGTGAGTAATAGGCTCAGTAACATTATTACTAAAGTGTTTACATGAATACTGAGTTCAGTAACAGTAGTAATAACCCGTTTTCAAGAATAACAGATACCATCACAAACCAAATTAATGGACTTGCTCTGACAGTTCACAGATTGGCAGCGGCGGCGACCATGGTCGTGAAAGCCTCAAGATGGCCATGGAGAAAGCCCGCAAGAAGATGGAGGAAGGTACACCTGATAATTCTCCTGGCTCCTCCCGCGGCTGTTCTCCCTACCCTGACCTGTACACAGGACCACACCTGCTGGACGCCATCAGAAGCCTCGACCTGAGCCCCAGCGCCTCACCCGCAGAGTCACCGATGCCGCCTCACACAGAAGGCAAGCCTTGGGCTCCGCCTAAAGCTAGGGATGGTATGTATGGTGTATACAAACTTCTGTCCATTAGTATTATGCTGTTCACACAATAAAAGTAAGACAAGGCAAAGCACCGGAGACCGAATCGTCTTTATATAATAAAATATTATTATGCTACTCCCTTAATAATACTCGATGTGTTGGTCACTTGGGTACCTGTGTTTATATATATAAATACGTACATTCATTCTTAATTAAAAGATACATATTTCATAGAGTTTATAAGAACGAGTAATGTAGTTTGTGTTGTGTGGACAGGTCAAGCGACAGATCCCAACATGCTGACTGTGCCGGGGCGCCGCTCCTCCACCACGCTCAAGAGGGACGGTGAGGATAGTGGGTCAGACATCAGCCTCGATGTTCCTGTGAGTGCCAACATCAAGGACTCAATTAAATTACTTAAAAAGAAGACTGAAGTAGTCAAAGTTTCTTCTACGCCTGTAAAGCCTGTGGCAGCAGACAAAACTTCTTCCAAGCCTCCAGCAACTATCACAACGGTATCAGAGAAAACCCCACCTCAGGTAGGCAAAGATGAAGCTAAAGTTCAGAAAACAGAAATCCCGGCCTCAGCAGTGGTGTCGTTGGGAGTGCCTCAGGTTGCCAAGGATGAACCTCAAGTCCAGAGGAATGATGCCAAGACAGTATTGGATAAAAGCTCAACCCAGATTACCAAGGGTGAATCTCAAGTCCAGAGGAAAGATGCCAATGCAGTGTTGGAGAAAAGCCCAACTCAGGTTACGAAGGATGAATCTCAGTTCAAGAGGAAAGATGCCAAGGCAGTGTTAGATAAGAGCCCAACCCAGGTTACCAAGGATGAATCTCAAGTCCAGATGAAAGATGCGAAAAAAGTGTTTGACAAGAGCGCACCGCAGGAAGACAAGGTTGCACCTCTATTTCAGATGAAAGATGCCAAGGCAGTGTTCGAGAAGAGTGCGCCGCAGATAATAAACCAAGATGAACGCCAAGTCCAGATGAAAGATGCTAAGGCAGTGTTTGAGAGACCGCCTCAGATCAACAGAATCAATGTTTCAGCTCCGAAGAGAGAAATCCAGGCCCCGAGACCCGTAGGACGTCTCCCTGGTAAAGACTCAGCACCATTGAGGATCCCTCCTCCAGCGGCTGTGAGTGCTCGTCGTGGACCCGAGTCTGAGCATGCCCTACGCCGCCCCGTGCCCTCACGACCGCAACAAGTACAGCAGCAGATGTTCACAGACTCTGACGATCTAGAGAGCGTAGATTTCGTCCGTCGGCCATCACGGCCACCAGCTAAGGTGGAATCTAACGGGAAAAGCCCACCCCCTTCCATTGCCGTTATCCCGTCAACTCCAAAGCCGCCAGAGTCTCCCGTGTCTTCCTCTCCTGTTCACAAGCCTCTTGTAAAAGCACAGGCTCCTCAGCCTATGGTGAAAGCACAGGCTCCTCAGCCTGTGGTGAAAGCACAGGCTCCACAGCCTCTGGTTAAACTACCGGCTGCAGCTCCATCAGAAGAGACCAAAGAAATTGTACCTTCTGAAACGGCTCCTACAGAAAAGACTCCTGCAGAAGAGGCTTCTTCAGAAGCCCTTAGCAGTCCAGAACAGAAACCCTCCACTCCTCCAGCTGCTACTTTCCGCAGCAACTCCCCGTCGACCCAGAGCCAACCCTTGCTGAAGCCCACTGAGAAGAAGAGTGGGTGGTTGTAAACCTCTGGTGGCCAACAGGGACACTGACTCCTCACAACTTTATCAGTTACCGTACCTGTCCCATTACTAACACACCAAGCTGAATGCCACACACCTGCCCACCAACCCCCACATCCAGGTCATGCCCATACTGGCTCGGTTGCAGTTTCTGAAATCTATGATAGATGTATAATAGGATTTTCCACCAGAGTAAAGATTCAAAAAGAGAAAAGTGCGAACGTAGATTTTTTTATGTATAAATGTTCATCTTTTAGATTTTTTATAATTATGTAATATATACAAAATTGTATATTATTTTTTGTCTTTTGACTCGTGATACTCTCCTATTGACGTTAATAAAACTTATTCTACGCTGAATTATCCTCAAATATAAATTTACAGCAATTAATGCAACACCATCATTAGAAAATCTCCCGTTTCTCCTGACAATGTATGACCACCAGTATCACTCGTCTTGTCCAGGAACCAGACCCCGAGACCTTTCAGTTGTGCTCAACACTCTGACCACTGTTACAAGTCGTGCGTGTATGCTACATCGTTTATACATATATTTATATATATACAAATTAATAAAACAGAGGGTTCATTATTACAGGCAAACAGTAATAATTTATATAAATTTCTTCAGTGCCAAGAACATCTGCCCACATTATAGAAAGTGATAGTTCCCTCCAGTACACTACATAAACACACCTCATCAGTTTTCTTAAGTTTTCCATAGTTTTATTAATGAAAATACACATTAACATTTATTTGTAGCAAGTAAACACATGAATTTAGGCTCGAAATCTTTATTTATCTCTCTGCAGAGGACATTTTATCATTGACAAAAATCAAATCTCAGTTTAAAAAAAAATCTTGTTAAAATTTTAAGTGGGTGCAAATAAATAGTACTTCCTTAGCTTATAATTTGAATTTGAATAATATATATATATATATATATATATATATATATATATATATATATATATATATATATATATATATATATATATATATATATATATATATATATATAATGTATGTATAAATAATGTAAAGCAAAGATATGCACACCGAGAGGTGTATGTCTCTACTATATATATAGTATATTAAGTTTATTTTAATTCCTATTTCTGGGATTAAAATATTCTTGAGTGGTGATGGAAAAGTTATATGCAGCCTTAATGATCTCGTGTAGTTGACAGGTTTTAAGATCATGTAACCAGTCAGTGTAGAGCAAGAGGATAATATACATCGATAAATGAATGTTTCTCAGTGTATATACGCTGAAAGTTTATTCTAGGGATTAAGGTATTATTGAGTGGTGATGAACATGTTACATGACCCCAGTGTAGTTGATAGGCTTTAAACCCAGTAAATAAACCAACCAATAAACCTTGTAGTTTCTTTGTTGACAATTTTTTCAAGTTTCCAGTCTTAATCTCCGCGATAAGATGTACATTGTTGCAGTTTCTCCTTCAGCCCATCCTCAACAAATGTATTTTTGTGTATAAAATAATTTACAGTATGTGAAGACCCATCCTGCATTACCATGAAATATTCCCGTAAAATACTGTTGTATAGGCTGTCTGGTTATTCATAGTAAATTTACATAACTTTAGGTTAATTAATGCGACATTACCTAAGATAATTTAAATTAATATAAAGAGGAAGAAGCGGATATAGGTGTTAGATCAGGGTAAAGATGCAGGAACCAGGAAGTTAGTATATATCTTAAATATGTACCCCAGACCCATCCTGTGGGCGGTGGTCAAAAAATTACAGATATATAATAGGTCTAGGGACTGGACCGCAAAGTTTTAATAGCTGAACAAGTAACAGTAGTAATGAAGTACTTACATGTTTATATCTGGTTACAATCATAGTGAGTTATTTATGCAGACGTGACCACATCATCAGGTGGGCAGCCTACTATGTTTTGTCCTGCTATATATGATGCTTCCCTCATTAGTAAAAACTTTGCCACTACATTTATATCGACCACATTGTAGAAGAAATGTATTCTTGATATATTTATTTCTCACATATATGGAGATGACTTTATAAAGTTAAAATGCATGAAGCTGTGCTTATTGTCCTTCACCATCCATGAGTAAAGCCCATCTTGCCGGAAGGGTATGCAAATTAACCATAGTTAAATAATAACAAGCATTGATATTGTAACAGTCATAGTGTTCACAGAAGTCGCACAATGGACTTGTGACAACGTTTATTAATAAAAATGAATTTAAAGTTATTGCATGTGTTAGGCTGTGACTACTTTGAGCCTATATTCACCCATCACTAAATTGTCAAGACTCAAAGATATGCAAATACAAAATGTATATATTAAGTAATCACGTACAGAATGTCGGTTGGCTATTAAAATCAATTATATTTCTATAAAAACAAGAAATTCCAACAAAATTCCATGTGACGGTCTTCATCTTGTCTCATTTTTCTCTTAAGAATTAATAAAGACATCCTGACATAATGTTTTAAATAAAACAGTTCTGATAACAGTAACATATAAAACAGTTTTATTTATACCTTAATGTTTTATGGGTTACGCAAGTGACCAAAATCTATACATTATAGGCTACCTATGTAATCCAGATGTAGACATGTATACATCGAGATATATTTATCTCAGATGTATGCCTTCATCATCTGTATTATGTATGCCTTCATCATCTGTATTATGTATGCCTTCATCATCTGTATTATGTATGCCTTCATCATCCGTATTATGTATGCCTTCATCATCTGTATTATGTATTCCTTCATCATCTGTATTATGTATGCCTTCATCATCTGTATTATGTATGCCTTCATCATCTGTATTATGTATGCCTTCATCATTTGTAATATGACACTGAAGGTAATGTGTGAGAAGTTCACATTATAGATATTACATTCATTGGGAAGCTCTTAATGCACAAGAATCATTAACTTTCTGAGCACTGGAACCAAGATACTTTCACAGCATCAAGGAGTCCTGCTCCTCATCCCCTTGAAGCTGAGGAACCCACACATGTTACTCTCTCAGTTGTTGATTATTCTACCACACTTACAAAGTTAACATGTAGGTATGAGGGGGTAAAATACCTTGTCTAAGGGTACGTATAAAGTTGTTAAAAAGTAAGCCACCCTAAGTCCCTATGTTCCGTAAACTACAGAAAATGTTGAGCAGGTAGTCAATACTTGATTACCAGGAAGGGCAGATAAACTCACCTTTATAAAGATAAACATATACAAAACAACATTTACAACATTTACAACCATTTTAATGTTCAACATTTACAACATCACTGTAAAAGCACAATACACCAGCAGACCCCCCCCCCCACAAGCTACTCAAAGTCATGCCACATTATTATTACAACCAAAACCAAGTGCTAAACCCACAAGAGTCATGACTGGGTCACAGGAAGACCACACAATTGCGTCTGTGAACTACCACACTTCCCTGCCGGCCTCCAGTCTGCTGGTAAAAATGAAACCATTTCTGCACTCTTCATCACTCACACACCTATCTTTACATAGTTTTAAGACGAGGTATGATAAAGCTCAAGGAGCAGGGAGAGAGAGGACCCAGTAGCGGTCAGTGAAGAGGCGGGTCCAGGAGCTGAGTCTCGACCCCTGCAACCACAATTAGTTAAGCACACACGACCACGCAAAAAAAAAAAAAAAAAAAAAAAGCCAGGCACCTCCCAGGGCCCACATGAACATAAAACAAACGCAAACACAACTTACGGCATGAACAACACAATACACCACACAACTACAACATTACTCCAGCACATCTTCCAGCGATGCTCTCCCATGAGACCAGAAACTATCACAATACTCACGCCTTAAAAGCGCCTACAGATTGATGACATTATTTATATGGAGCTTTTTTTCACAATAGTAACTCGTTAAATTATCAACTTCATATTAATGCAGAAATCTGCATAACACGCTCACCACCAGATCACAGGTCTCATGCAACTACCTGTATCCAGTAGGATACAGCTAGTAAAAAAAAAATTAGTAAAAAGGAAAATTACCCTAAGTCTGGGAAAACTGGAATTAACATCGTCAAAGCCAAGAAAACTGCATCATTACAACAAGCACTCATTCTTACTTGACTTGCCTTGGTGCACTTTTCTTGTACTAACAGAAACACAAAATAGACATTTATAAACACAAAACATCCACTATCATCACAATGACACTCGTTTAACACAAAAGTAATCAATTGAGTTTTACGCCATATGAACCTACAATTATGCTTTACAGCTATTCCTCTTAAACCCAAAACTGCAAAAATGCTCCATCAAAACAGTGTTTGTCAAGCACCGACCTTGATACATTTTACCTATACATCATACAACTTTATACACTACTGAATGGTTTACCTCTGTACAACATATTTCACCATTACATAAAGAGTAAACTGGTTTACAGCAGTGTCCAGTACCACAAATATCTACTTGCGATAGATGCAAGTAATGTTGCGAAAACAGACACAAAATATAAATGACTTCAAAAAGTAAGTATATTAATAAGTCTCCAGAAATGGTGCAAAGATTTGATAAGTGCGCATATTATTTATTACATTGAATAAGAACAATCACATGAACCTTGTACCCCCATAGTCATCTTTTAGTAAGCAAAAGTGGCTATGCAAGACACACCTTTGGGAGAAATAGGAGAGCGCAGGAGCAATGGTGTTGCTAGGGTTGGTGTCACCCTGGGCGACATCTTTGGTGTCACCCGTGGCAGCATGTATGGTGTCACCCGGAGCAGCATCAATGGTGTCACACCCATGAAATCCAAGGCCGGGGGGATGGGGGGAGTAAACTCAAGTTACGTCACTACTGCATGACCAGTTACGTCACTACTGCATGACCAGTTACGTCATTACTGCATGACCAGTTACGTCACTACTGCATGACCAGTTACGTCACTACTGCATGACCAGTTACGTCACTACTACATGACCAGTAACAAATGTTTAACAATGAGAACGTTTAAGGGCCACAAACTGAACGGTAGAATACTTCTCAACTTTATTAATGATAAAATATATAATCGTAGTAATATTGAGGAAACAAACTCAAATACCATTCTGAGTACAGCCAACAGATCCTACATTTATTCATCTTCAACAATGTAAAAAAAAAAAAAAAAAAAAAAAAAAAAACTTGAATGAAGGAAAACATTGCAATATCAGAGAAACACTAGTTCCGATATGACCTTGAGTACAAGTAACATTTCAGTGAATCTGATCATACATTTCCTTGCCTTCAATCCTGCAAAATTGTCTATCATGTCATCAAAATCAATGCTGTCAACTGACCCATTTTCTATGGATAACATTGCTATGTCAGAGATTCTGGATTGACTCATTGTGGACCATAAATAGTTTTTAATCAGCTTCAACTTGAAGAAACTCCTTTCACAAGAAGCCACAGAAACATATATAGTAAAGAACAACCTTAGGCAGAGTGTCCGAGTTGGAAGAGATTCAATATAATCCCATTCAGCTATGAATGTTAGTGCATCCAATGTAATCCAGTACTTAACTTTGTCAAGATCAACATCAGCAGCTTGTAGGTACCTCCTTAGTCTTGGTATTTCAAGCATGAGCTCATTCTTGTATATTTCATTATAGAAGACTGTGAGTCTTGAAGCCATCACCTCCAATTTTTCTTCAGTAGCTTCCACAAGATTCTTCGTTTGAATGACACCAGACATGGCTGCCACATCCTTGATTGCTTTTGATCGCATCTCGAGTTTATTATGAAAACAATCAATGCACTACATCTCCCTCTTGTTTTCTTCCTGTACAGTGAATCTGGAATCTCTTGCTTGCTCCCCTGCCATCCTTTTCTTTAACCTGATTCTTCTCTGTTGGAAATCCATCTTCCTCACGTCAATGATGAGTGATTAAAATGATGCCAGGTGGATTAAGGGTTTTTCCAAAATATCGTAAATAAAATTGCCGATTTATCGTAGTTTTCCGTATACGTCATTGATTTTTTTCCCTATATTGGCCTATTTGTACTCTGTAATCATATAATAGGTATATAGAAATAAAGGAATTTTATCTTATGTTGCTGCAGCACTGTTTTGGGCATTAGAGCCACCTTCTTTAGAGGCTCTATGGTGTCACCCCGGGCGAAGCATCCCCCCCCCCCTCATGACGCCACTGCACAGGAGGGAAAAGTATCAGAGTCCTAAACCTGGGTAGTCACATATAATTTTTGTTGGTGGGGACTGTGTGAAGAACACTAATGACCCTCAGAAGGTGGGCCTCCCAGGCCTTCACCTATACTGTAATTCCAAGGAACCCTGGAGTCGCCCACATTGGTGATCCAAAAAACAAATGGAGCCTGGAGAAACAAAACACCCAGGATCACTATTCATGACCCACAGTGTTGAGGCATCACCACCAGCACCTCATTAAAAGTAACCCTTCAGTCCAACAGCCCATAGGACACCAGCGTAAAACACATGAGATAGATTAGATTTTGCCACCGAAGTGGCTAGTTTATTGTGCACTCCATATCCATCATGTGGACGGTAGCACAAGAACATATGCATACACAAAAGGCCTAGGAACTAGGCCCCAAAATGATTAACAGATGTACATATGAATTTATATCTACATATCTACAGTTCAGTTATGTTTCAAGCAAATTTATAAAATTTGCTTAGTATATCTGGTATCTTATTTTCATTAATAAGATATCTTAACATGTAACATAGGTTATTATACTGTCTGTCTCTGTATTCCTCAATAAGTGGACAATTAAGCACATAGTGTTCAAAACAGTGACCATATGCCTGATCACATAATTTACATTTAGTTTGATCATCATCTGTGTGTCTCCCAAACTGCCAGAAGTACTTGTAACCAAGCCTAAGTCTGGCCACTACAACATCAGTCAGTCTGTTCACATTGCAAGTTGCTCCATAAACATACTTATCTATGTTCATGTTATCATAGTGGGTTATAGATCTACTCAGGCTTCTAATTGCATTCCTATAACAATCATTTTCGTTATTTACTTCTCTCCTAATATTATTCCTAATGCTAGACACATTTATACCAAAGTTATATTCTACATTCTCCTTCTGGGCACATGAGGCATACCAGTCAGCACCTAAAAAAATGTTAACATACCTGACCTAGGCATGTAAACTGATGTAACTAATACCAAAAACACACACGGAAATCTGATGCCCCACACCACCAGCCCAACTTGTTTCTATACTCTAGGTCAGAGATGCCATTTACTCGACCACTGCAAGCATATGTATGTTATTTATACGAGACAATGCATGAACAACCACACTCTGGGTTGCCTTCACATAATGGATCATGAACAACCACACTCTGGGTTGCCTTCACATAACGGATCATGAACATACACACTCTGGGTTGCCTTCACATAATGGATCATGAACATACACACTCTGGGTTGCCTTCACATAACGGATCATGAACAACCACACTCTGGGTTGCCTTCACATAACGGATCATGAACATACACACTCTGGGTTGCCTTCACATAACGGATCATGAACATACACACTCTGGGTTGCCTTCACATAACGGATCATGAACAACCACACTCTGGGTTGCCTTCACATAACGGATCATGAACAACCACACTCTGGGTTGCCTTCACATAACGGATCATGAACATACACACTCTGGGTTGCCTTCACATAACGGATCATGAACATACACACTCTGGGTTGCCTTCAAATAATGGATCATAGAGTTTACAGGTTGGAAAAACAAAGCCCTCCTAGTGATCTTTGGTTGTCTGTTCATTAGGTGAAGGAAACGTCAAGGATTGTGGTCACTATACACAGTAACAGGATGAAGAGATTCTGAGACATACACTGCAAAATGTTGCACATTATTATTATAACGAAAGCGCTAAACCTACAAAAAATGTTGCACAAGCAACACCAATTATTATAATCATGGGGGAGCGCCTTGGGGGGGGGAGGATGGAAGATATTCAGGCTCAATTCAGAGAACTGGAGCACAGATCCAGTTCCTTAGATCAAGAGCCCCTCACCAGCATCAAAGAACCTCCCTTGAGGGATAACCAATACCAAAGCAAGAGCCTCGTCAGTTGATTGTTATTGTACCACACTTGTGCCTGACTCTCCGTTGATTACATTCCAATTGATGGGTTTGAAATGCAAAATAAAGCCATCAGACTAACTTATGAAGAGGAGGGAGGTTTATCTAACAACTCACGAGATATTAATGTGCCATATAAATATACTGTGCTCAGTCCAACCACCCAGTCAGAGCCACTAGGATTGTGGAAAATTAAATTTACCTGGATGAATCTCATTGGATACATACCAGTAAATGGTAACAAAGATAATTATTATTTACCAAAGTTACAGAGACAAGTAGGAATTTTTAGGACACCTAGGTCGCAAAAAATGTCCCCCTTCGATACCTACCATAATCTATCTCTCAACAAGTTGCTCTAGACCTATATTAATTGCAAATGAAATGTACATCACCAGGAATTCTGGTGTAGAAAATTGCATTTATCTGAAATTTTGAATGTATTATTATATACATAACAGTAAATGAAAAGATAATTATTATTTATCAGTTAGACATGTAGGAATTTGGGACACCTAGGTCGCACAAAATGTCCCCCTTCGATACCTACCACTGTCATATCCACAAGTTGCTCTGGACCTATTAATTACCAATGAAATATGTATAACCAGGAATACTGGTAAATATATTAATTTTGTGGACTGTATATTAAAAATAATAAATGGTTATATATATACACAATTACATAACAGAAGGAAAATACATCTTAATATCACTCACCAATTTGACTGGAGATTAATGTGTATCATACTCAGAAAACCTCACTCTAACTAAATCTATGAAAATAATGCTGGCCAGAATTACACACAAATCAAGAGAGCTTATCTGAGGTTTCTGGAGAGGTCTTGTCCAGTCGCCTGATATCTCAAGTTATGCAGGAATGCATATCCACCAATTTCGCCTCCTATTTGAGAGGTGTCAGCACAATTTTAACCTCTAGAGCACGAAAAATTCTTCCCCATTCACCAACGTTTCTAATACAAATTCAAAACCAAGATGGCGACCCTCGTCTGCGCAGACGCAGGCTTTCCGTTTTCTATGACATAAATATTATTAAATACAGTATGGCCATCTATTTACATATAAATACTGAATTTCTGGAAAATATATACAGTATTTTCCACATTTGGTAAAATTTAAAATAAATTTGTGGACTGTATATTAAAATTAATAAATGATTACATATACACATTTATATAACAGAAAGAGAATTTATAATCATAACACTCACCAATTAGTCTGGAGATTACTGTGTGTCATGTACAGAACCCCCCTCTACCCAAATTTTTGATGATAATACTGGCCAGAATTACAAACATAATTTAGATAGCTTATCTGAGGTTCCTGGAGCTATCCTGTCCATCTGCTTAATGCTCAAATTATGCAAGACTGCACATCCAACAATTTCGGCTCCTATTTGAGAGGTTTTAAGTCCAATATAACCCCTAGAGCGACGAAAATTATACACATTTCACTAGTGTGCTTGTATCACATTCAAAAAAAACAATGGCGACAATCCCTGCTCTTCAGCGTAGGCGCAAAACCTCCCTGTCGGCTCCATTCTCTAAAATACACTTTTAATCAGGTTTATTTACACAGCATAATTTTGGGAAATTATTTTCCACAAGGATGGTGGGATGGGTTACTGTTACACTGGCTTGAAACAGTCATTATCTGACTGTAAATGATAATCCTAAAAATGTCAATGTGGTTTATGCTTTATTTCCATTTTAGAACTGACTCCTGTAGCTCGTATATAAGGAAAAATTACTAGGAAAGCCTAAAGCAAATTCCAGCCTTTCTAGAAGTAAGTAAGTTTATTTAGGTATACACAAATAGTTACATAGAATTATCATACATAGCAGCATATGTGTAGAGAACCTAGGATAACCCAAAAAAGTCAGACAGAGTGACTTATTTCCATTGGGCTCCTTTAAAGAAGCAGTACCTTTGGAAGCTTTGTGTCAGTAAATGCAGAACTACTGGAAGCATTACGTTATCCTAGGTTAAAATCTGCTGAATTTAATAGATACAACTATTGGGAAAATTCGAATTATGTGTAAGCCCTAAATGAATAGGTATAGAAGGGTACTTCTGCCCGAAATGCCCCTGCATGATAGTGGTTTTCTTTGTACTTAGCAAACCAAAATTGTAATTATACATTGCAACCTTTACAAAGAAATAAATCTTTATCTTTTAATACATTATCTAATGATGTTAATTAAAGCATATCTTAAATTTTGATCAAAAATGCGCACAACCGAACGTGTGTGTAATTATTGCAAAATTTATGTAATTACATACACGTATTATTAAAAGATTAATTTTTTTTTTAGAAAACAAGTATGCAGAGAAATGTTGATTATTTTAGTATTTTGCGTCTTGTCTAAAGTGCTGTCAATAACATACCAACACTGTTGTAGTTTACTATTCATATAATTATATTTCTATAATATATTCTAACTTAAGAATAAAATAATGTTATTTTTAATTAATATTATATAAGCTTTAGCTTAGTAAATTCTTTAGTAATTGCTGATATAAACACATAAAGTATCCCTGACTAAAGAGGTGGGTTGGCCAGCCTGCTTGTAGTTGTGACGTCAGACAGGAGTCACAACAAAGGTCTGGCAGCCTGACAGTCATCTCTGCGACGCTGCTTTATTATCACCTTTACTACCACGCCCAGAGTCACATCAGGAATCCACGGCAATGGGGGCAGTGTTGGGCATATGCAGCGCAGCCCAGGTGTGTTCCGTTGTTCAGAATTGTTGTATGTATATTGCATGATGAGAAGGAAGGAAAGAAGGCAGCCACAAGTCAGCTGATTCAGTCACTTGAGGGTCACCTGAGTAATGTATTTCCTTCTTTCAGTTTATATATATTATTAAGAGTTTAAATTGAAGTTCATTAGTTTATATGGACGTTAGAGTTTGTGCGGATATGATGGAGGAACTCTCATTTACTTCGCCAGTCTTATCAATAAGATTAAACATTAATTCAACAGAAACGAGTTTGGGAAATATGTTACACAATTTGCCTACAAAAAATGACAACCCTATCATAATAGTCTGCTGATCACTTCATTATCCTCATACCAACAAAATCAAGCTTTGATGGCAGCCTTCTAATGACCTAATATGTAATAACAAACTACTTAATAATTTAGCTGAATTAATATTGGATTCAGACATAAGTGCTGAATCTGTGAGTTATACAGAGCTGTATAGCCCTTGTGGTTTAGCGCTTCTTTTTTATTATAATAATAATGAGTCATACAGTGTTCTATAGTATCTGGATATTACAATATCAACTTAAATTATAAAGACCCCACAAGCATAGTAAGTAAGTTTATTTAGGCACAGGTACACGTGAGTACAATTATACGTAGTAACTTGGTGCAAATTACCTAGGATAACCCAACAAAGTCAGAGAGACATAGATTTAGACATTAACAAGGTTAAGTCTGCTTGATGCATTTTGTGCCCATAACTTTTGTGTATCATTGAAACCATTGTAAATTTGCATAGAGAAATCTTAGACTTTTTTTCAATGTCGGTGAGAGGCTAAATTATTAGCAATCTAGTCATAAACTTGTTAAACAAAAATATACATTTGAAATCTGTAACATTTTGAACCTTACAAAATAATTGCAGTTTCAAAGTCCCAAAGTACACGAAGCTTGGGTGACTTGTATGAAACCGTGCCCAACAGCCAATGACGTTAGAAGCCAGAATCTTCAATTAAGCCAAACTGGAGGGATTATTATTATTTTAATATAGAAATGCTAAATTGGGTAGGAGTCTTACAGCACCTGGGAAATGGGATGTAATCAGGTTTGATATGAGACACAGGAGGGAAGCTTCAACTCCTTGGAGCCACAGCCCTTTACCCACATACCCCATTCCCTTGTAGGCCAAAAGAAAAAGAGCTAAGTAGCCATATTCATACTGCACAAAGTCTAGAATGCATCTTATTAGTTATTACTATTTTTTACATGTCCAATATCTATAAAACTAATTTTTGTTAGTATTCTGAGTTGCAATTGAAGCTGTTTTCATTTTAAACTTAGTAGGTAGCCCCTGTACAGCATGGTGAAACTCTCATTGCATGGACCAAAATGGGACAAATAATGTCTGATAATGAAGATTGGCAATTTTACACATTAAAAAGTAGCTGAAGAATCAATACTTTACTGTATACATAATAAAGGATCATATATAAAATTCATAGATATAATAAATGTTGAAATTCTGGGCCTTTCTTTCTGTCAAACCTGGTGATGATCCATTTCACTCTATCCTTCCTAGTGAGATTTTCTCGATCCACCATGCCCTTCATATGGTTCTCCCATCTTCCTCAAACAGCCATGCTCTTTACTGACTCTCAGTCCTCTGTGGCTCTGTCCTCTCCCAGATTTCTGACATTTAGTCTGCAAAATCCAGCTCTCTTCACACCTTGGGTTAGAGTATTGCTCTCTAGTGGGTCCCATCTCGTGTACACATCCAGAGTAATAAGGTGGCAGACTGAGTTTCCTCTCTTGCCCACTCCCTCCTAGCCATCTCTCCTCTTCCTCTCTATGGAGAAAGTTTGCATCAGTATAGAGGGAGACCAGTCGCCAATGGCAGGGTAGCCTGGTCATTTCCCTTTACTCCTCAGCATTGGGCTCCATCCAGCCCTTTGAGGGGTCCCTGTCCTTGGGAGCAGCACCCCTCCTGGGCACTTGATGTGGCCCTGACACTTCTTTGTATGGGCCATTTAGGACTTGGGGCTCATCTTTATAGTTTCCTGATGGTTGCTTTCCCTGCCTATAGGTGATATATCAGCCAGCTGAATACATTGGAATATTTTCTTTCACGATCCCAGTTCCATTCTACTCGCATGCATATCTGTGAGTCCCTTTGCTGACTGGAAACGAGTCGCCTCTCATTACCATTTATTTATGCGGCTGGCTATGATCTGTCTGGCCCTTGCTTATGCCTTCCTCAAGGCTTTGGGACTATTTGGTGAACTTTAGTGGTGCATTCCACTCCTTGCCTGCAACATCTCTGACCAGGGCCCTCTGGACTCGTTATTCCATTTCCTGTAGGTACAGTGGAACCTCAAATATCGAACTTTCTTTGGTCCAGAAGGCTGTTCGAGTGCCTTTACCGAATGAATTTATTCCCATCAGGAATAATGTAAATTAGATTAGTCCATTTCAGACCCTCAAAAATACACTTATAAAAGCACTTACAAAAATACACTTACATAATTGGTCGTGTTGGGAGCAGTTCGATTTTTGAAGTTCCACTGTACTACCATTCTCCCTAATATTCTCCCGTGCTTGAGAACTCCCTAATCCCTGGGAATTGGGATTTAGGGTTCGGTATGGCTTATGCTGTGGAGGCCCTTAACAACCCCAACAACAGCATTTGAAACTAAAGTCTTTAAAACTACAGTACAGTGCCAGTATGAGTAATTTTATTGTACCCTAGGTGGTAAGGAAATGAGATTTTTTTGTGACTGAATAGGTCTTATTCTGGTCAGAGTTGTGAAACTGTTCGCCTTCTTATAGATCATAATTGATATTACACCATAACTAATTTACCAGTAGGTACAGAAGTGTTCATAATAGGCTTGCACGTCTTTTTATTTTTTAACGTAATTAATGAGAATGTTGACTTCATCTCATTCAGTTGATATTTTGATTTCCTCTCTTAACCAAAGCACTTGATTTAGGGGTCATGGCTTATCATAATATACTTTTGTATTATAATAAACACACAAAATCCATGGAAAATAGAGACATGACAATTCTCTACCTTTGAATGCACAGGCAGTGATAAATTGAGTCACTGCTCCATGAACAAAGTGCGTAATTCTGTGTTTGGCAGATATTTGTCGTTTCCGAAATCCAATAAATAAAAGCTTTACTGTACTTTATCTATGACAGATGAATAATTTTATCTTGCTGTTTATTTTTGAGTGGGTAATTTTACCTGTGATGTGGCCTGCTCTATCATTTTTTAATTGTAGTTACAAAACTGTTAATCTGTATATAGTGTACATTGCAGTACATAAGTTGACCAGTTGCTTCACACAAAAAATTGTAATTGGCAGTAATTTTAATCATATTTTAAAATTGGTAAATTGTATGACAAGGATGGATTTAACCCTTAAACTGTCCAAACGTAGATCTACGTTGGCGTGTGTAGCGCTCCGACCTTGATTTTCTCCATAAGAAAGCACGTAGAAAAACGTAGATCTACGTTCAGAGTGCTACGCGAGCAAATGTAGATCTACGTTTGGACAGTTTAAGGGTTAAGCGATGGGTGTAAATTTGGCCATATGCAGTACAGTATTGTTAGTGTATTGTTGATCAGTGGTATTACTACAATGGCAAGTGGTGTAGCTCACACCCCATTTCTGACAAGTTATGTTTGCTGGTGCTACTGCTATAGCTGTCAGGATTTTGTTTTAAATTCAGATATGAATATACGTACATACATGTACATTGTACATATATTATGTTGCAGATATTCTTTGGATGACTTGCTGTACCTTAATTTGTTGATTTTAGGTCTTAGACAGCTTCTGATACATCTCCTGATGAACTGTTTGTTGCTAAAATGTCAAAGGAAATTTATGAGGTCCTGTAACAGTTTTGATTATTGTGCTTGGTTAGTCAGATAAAGAATTAAGTTTGACCAGTAATGGATGGGAGATTCTATGGACACTGACTCCCTTGAGTCTTGCCTAAGAGTAAGGGGGTACCTTAATAGACACTTGTTTCATATCCCCTGACACTGTATACCAGAAACTTGAAATTGTAAGAGTAACACTATAAATGATGTAACAGTGTGTTAATAATACTAATAATGGTACAATTGTCCTTTGTTTTGCATATTCACTATTTGATTTCTTTTGAATAGATGCAAGATTATTTAACCATGAGGCTAATGTAATATTGTACAATAAAGTTTAAAGTGTTTACTTTATTACATAATGGGTTTACTATATAGTACATGTTATCTGTTTACAGCTGGCATGCTGTTGTGGTTCAGCAGCATGCAGCCTATGCTGTTCAGCTTGCCCATCATGCAAGAATTCAACCTCGACTCGCATCATGTATGCAGTTATGATGCTGATGGGTACTGTTGTGGCTTGTATCATGCTCTCCCCGGGCCTACAGAGTGCTTTACAAAAGGTGATTATACTGGATATACATGCAGGATGCTTCAAATTCACACAGGATTTGACACCATTGTAATGTACAGGGCTTTTGTATATTCTCTCATTTATGTACTTTTGTTGGCAGTTTATTTTTATTTTAAAACTATCTTCATACTCTCATTCAAATATCTTAAGCTCAGCTGTTCTGTGATTTACTTGGACTGCATAGTCATTTCTGCTGATACATTCACTACAAATAATCTGAGTGTGTTTACTTCCTCCCTACTCATTCCTTCCAGTGTGACCTTTTTTTTTTTTTTCATTCTGTAGACCACACTTCTTAATAGTTTATCTCCTTTTTTTTTATGCACTTTTAACTTTCTTTTACAAACAAGCATGCACGCAGACTACTGTTGTTGCTTTTCCAGACTACCCAGTGACACTGTCATCCATACATAGGAATTGACAAGCCTCACTTGACATCTGATTCATTATTTATTAAAAACACTCATACATTCATTTATAAACTTGTGTAGTACTTCCTCATAAATATAATAATTACAACTTTATTTATATACAAACAGTAGAGATGTCACATATCTTTATTTTAGTTATGCTCTTACTGCACTCTCTCTAAGGATTACTCATTTTGTATGTTCAGGGGAAAAGCCTGGCTGTAAGGTTTTAGCTGTAATAGCAGACAGAGGATCAAGCCTCCTATTCCTTGTGCTGAATGATGTTAAAAAGATTGGTACTGGTAGCCAAAGGAGATATTTTATTACATGATAATAAGAGGTCTCCTTTTGTTATTCATGCCGTTTATTATCGATATCGTGCCTGCACTCTGGAGGAGTGGAGATATGTTGCAATTTTTGAACTGTAGTATCAGCAGGCCTGTGGCAAAACAGTGATGGAGTGAGTAATGAAAGTGATTCTTCTTTGGGTCACCCTGCCTCAGTGGGAATCAGCTGATGTGTTAAAAAAAATTATAATAAAATTATTAGAGATCTACAGAAGAAACTTAATATTTCATTTGTGTGTACCATTTATTTTTATTACCAAATACAGTACTGCATTAAATCTCATTAGCCTAGTGATGTACACAGTTAGTACGTACGTATTTCGCTACAGTAAGCCTCACTTTAACTCTTAAACTGTCCAAACATAGATCTATGTGTTTTCATCATTTGAAAGTACAGTGGAACCTCTACTTGCGAGTTTAATCCGTTCCATGACCTTGCTCGCAACTGGATTTGCTCGTTTGCAGAATCAATTTTCCTCGTTTAAATTAATTGAAATGCAATTAATCCGTTCCAGTGGAATTCTGTACTTCAATAATTTTGCTAATATCAACTCTACGGCTTATTTATCTATCTCACTTCATCTAATATGACATAATAAACAATATAAATAACATAGAAACCTGATATATACTCTAAAATGAATAAAATGTGTCATTCATGTAGTGGTATGGGCGGAGTCGGCGGTGGACGAGAGTTTGTCTGGACACCGGGCAAAATTCTTCATGAATAATTTTGCTAATATCATCTATATGGCTTATTTATATATCACAGTTCATCTAATATGACATAACAGACAATATAAATAACACAGAAACACGATATATACTCTAGAATGAATAAAATATGTCATTATGTAACAGGTGGAGGCGGCCACAACCGCTCCCTCTTTGTTGTGGTAAACACTGCCATCTAGTGACGGCCTTTTGAAGCCATCTATTATTATAATTATTATATGTAGTACATTATTATTATATATGTATTATTATTATACATATATTATTATTATTATTATTGTATTATACTATTATTATTATTATACATATTGTTATTACGTATTCATATTATTATACATATTATTATTATTATTATTATTATTATTATTATTATTATTATTATTATTATTATTATTATTATATAAATTATTTGTAATTTTTATTCACACAAAAATATAAGATTTACTGTTATTCCTTATTGCAATAATTGTAAAAATGTCAACCCATTCACGACTGCATATTGGAATGGACAGTGATGTCATTTGTTTACACTGAAACAGCCAAGCAATCGACCATTTATCCTAGGTTGAGCTCAATTTCAAGGCACTTTTCATCACGAAAGCAATCAAAATCATATCTATTTCTGTAAAATATCTTCCATTCTATCAAATGAGACCAAAAAAAACGAGAATACAACCATAAAAACCATACGAAAATACCACTAAGGGGTGGCTAATTGCTGAGAAGTGAGCTCCATTATTTATGCTTAGATTTCTTTCATTATTATTATTATTATTATTATCATTATTATTATATAAATAATTTGTAATTTTTTATTCACGTAAAAAATATGATTTACTGTGACGTCATTTGTTTACACTGAAACAGCCAAGCAATGGACCATTTCTCCTAGGTTGAGCTCTATTTCAAGGTACTTTTCATCATGAAAGCAATCAAAATCATATCTATTTCTGTAATTTATCTTCCATTCTATCAAACGAGACAAAAAAACGAGAATACAACCATAAAAACCATTCGAAATTACCACTAAGGGGTGGCTAATTGCTGAGAAGTGAACTCCATTATTTATGCTTAGATTTCTTTCATTTTTGGTGTACATTAAGAAGCATCTTTCCATCATACATTGCCCAAGTTTCAATAAAACAGTCCAACAAACAAATGAGATACAATTCCCGAGATCAAGAGCAAGAGCCCCTCACCAGTGTCAAGGAACCTGCCTTGAGGTCTGCTTGCTTGTGGAAATTTTGTTCGCGTATGGAAGCAAAAAAATCGACCCATCAACTGTTTGTATTTGGAAAAACTCTCACATGGACACGCTTGCAAGTAGAGGTTCCACTGTATGTAAAAAAAGATTTTTTTTTTTTTTTTTTTTTTTTTTTTTTTTTTTTTTTTTTTTTTTTTTTTTTTTTTACACATTTGAAAACTTGCAAAAATAAAAAACTTTGATCTACTTTTTTTTGTTGTTTGATATATTTGAAAATATGTAAAAAAAAAAAAAAACATAGATCTACTTTTGGAGCACTACACATGTGAAAATAGATCTGTTTGGACAGTTTAAGGGTTAATGAACCTCAGTTTAGTGGATTTTGGATTGAACAGGCAAAATCTGTAGCCAGGTAACATTAGGGAACCATGGACAAATTCCATTTAACCCTTTGAGGGTCGACAGGCCCTCTCCGAAACTCGTTCTCAGGGTCGGCCAAATTTCAAAAAAAAAAAAAAATTATTTTTTCTTATGAAAAAATAGAGTTTTTTTTTCTAAACATTATAGGATAAACAAAAAAATTTTACCATCAATACTTACGGAGATATGGATGCATGAAATTTGCAGAAAATGAGCCGCGTATGGCAACAGCGGCGACTGCCGCTCACCCGGTAAACTTTGATTTACTTGTATTTGAAGGTTTGTTGTTTTTTTCACTATTTGATTTTTTCACATAACTTATGTGGCCTATGAGACCAAAGTAAGGTGCAATGTACATATATCCACTCGTTGTATACAACACAATAAGCACACAAACATAATTATCAATATATTGTTTACAAAACTTGTTTACAAAACAAACAATACAAAAACATTGTTTATTATTATTGTTCTATAATATATATACCAATATACAGTCACTGAACATATTCCTATTAGTTCTGCAGCTTGTGGAACTCTGAAACATGGTGTCATACACAAAGGTGTTTTATCTTTCTCCCTCATTCTATCTCTTTCAATCTGTCTCTCTCTTTCTATCTGTCTGTCTATCTCTGTCTCACAGGTACACATAAATACAAGTATACATAGTATAAATTACCTAGGATAACCCAAGAAATCCAGACAAAGTGCTATACTCTGCTTGAAGATGTGAGTAAAAGTGATGACACAGTCTTGTGGCTCTCTGAGACAGAGAGCTAGATGGATAGACAGGGAGCTTGACAGACAGGCAAATAGACAGACAGAAATGTTAGTATACCAGCAAAAACAAAGGGAGGGCGATGTTCATCTCATCTTTTGGCATCAGCTCTACCCTCATTTACCCTCATCAAAGGTCAGCACTTATCAGATGTTATCTCCCCTTATCTTGTTATTGTCATGGGTGAACATTTATTATTACATATTATTATTATTACCTATTATTATTATTATGTATTATTATTATTATGTATTATTATTATTATGTATTATTATTATGTATTATTGTTATCATTACGTATTCTTCTTCTTCCTCCTCCTCTTCCTCCTCCTCCTCCTCCTCCTCCTCCTCCTCCTCCTCCTCCTCCTCCTCCTCCTCCTCTTCTTCCTCCTCCTCCTCCTCCTCTTCTTCCTCCTCCTCCTCCTCCTCCTCCTCCTCCTCCTCTGCCTCCTCCTCCTCCTCTTGCCTCCTCCTCCTCCTCTTGCCTCCTCCTCTCTTGCCTCCTCCTCCTCTGCCTCCTCCTCCTCCTCTGCCTCCTCCTCCTCCTCCATTCTTGGAACAAGTTTGAAGAGCTTGTAGTTCATAATCACTATCATTATCATCACCAATGCTCACATCTGAGTCTGGGATTTTGGAAAATAGGAGTTTCCTTTGATTCTGGTACAATTGAACGACGGCCCAGCACCAGAGGTGGAAGGCTGTGGGTTGTCTGGGTTTTCCTCACTATTACCCATATTATGGTCATTAGTTTCGGTCAAAACCTCACCAGAACCTTGAAACTCATCTTCACTGTCACTTCCATCTGTATTAGAACTGTCACTGGGGAACAAAAGTGTCCCAATTCGCCGAGGAGTGAGGAACTTCTTACCGCAGGGCACGGTGGAAATTGTGTACTATGATGGCATTCCCACAATGCACCACTGGGTCCCAGATTTTTTTCCTACTGCGCACACCCACCACACAGACCCATTCTCTCACATCTAGGCTTATCAGCCTTTTCCTGCGAGATTTGAGGCCGCTAGAATTTATGCGTACTAGTACGACAAAAACCCCTACGCGTAAGACGTACTAGTACGACCAAAACCCTCAAAGGGTTAATTAAGAGTTATTAGTTTATTTTTACTATTCACTGTGTAAATTAATTTAAGATTTTTACAAATAAAGTTTAATAAATAACACTTGTCCATGTGACCTCTAGTCCATTAAAACATCTGCCAATCCATAAAATATTACTGTTTGAACAATTAATTGTAATATTGTTTTTATTATGTGCAACTTCAAGATTATTATTCTTATAAACCTCCACCCTGACTACTTCGCATTAGTATTAAAATAATATTAAGATAGATTTATTAAAATGTTTACCATTCTTATCTTGTCTAGACTTTAGTTATCATGTACTAGGATTAGTTTACCTTAAATGCCCCAGCACGATAGTGGCTTTCTTTGTACATAACAAATCAAAATTATATTTACACATCGTAACCTTAGCAAAGAAATAAAATCTTTAATCTTTTTAATCTTTTAATCTTTAATTGTTTTGGGCAAGTCTCGATTTAACATAGTTTGTTACATTCAGTCCATTATTGTTGCGGTCTGCTTGGTATATGGATCTTTGGATTTAACTGACAAAATCCACTAAAATTGGTTATTGTTATGATCTTGAAAAATGTTCTTTCTCCGTCTTTTGCTATGTCCAGAATATTATTCGTATGTATATTATATATTTAAGTATACTGTAGTTTTATTTATATATTTGGGAACAGTATATTGACAGTTGTTCAGTATTCATGTTTCATGCCTGCATAGTATGACTCTGGGACAGAGGTGTCCAGCTAGCCATACCTCGCTGGACACCAGTGACAACACTGATGTCTTGCACAGAGTTCTTATTGATCACTGAGGCCTCTGTCTTGCACAGAGTTCTTATTGATCACCGAGGCCTCTCTCACTACCAGAGCTTATAGGCAAGAGCTCTGATAAGTGTTACCCATGAAGTAGTATTTGCTAATTTTATAGCTCTTGAGAGTCAAATAATAATCCAGAATGTTTATTCCAGGTACCATTTTGTAGCAGTGGGGAAGGTGATACAACATCCATACTAAGTGCGGCCACTGAGGGTGTAAAGCTAGATTGTACAGAGGTGAGTCTGGTTTACCCCTTTTGTACTTAAATTGATAATGGGAGGTATTTCATGCCAGGAAGTTTATGATAATCTTGAATCAAAATATATATGCAGTAAGTCCTCGGTAGGCTCTTGGAAACTGCGACTTTAAGCAAAACTATGTATGACAAAACCAATTTTACCATAGGCTAATTGATGTATACATCAAGGGTGCACAATGCAACAGGGTTAAATCGAGGAATAAATGTTTGCAAAGCAAAATATGTATGAAGTGTGCTCCTACCATCATGCAGTTCAAAAAAGAACATGCAGACTCCTCACAGACAGTGGCCCTGGCCAGAAAATCTTTTTTTTTTTTTTTCTCATCAGTGTTGTACCGAGACATTAAGTGAGGACTTGCTGTATATGCTAAAAACACTTAACCCTTACACTACCAATGGGGGTAACATGAAATTGTATTTTAGCACCAAATTTTTTTTTTAATTTGCTTTTATTTTACATGTTTAAAAAAAATAGTTAAAATTTACCAATTACAGTTGCAGACTTAGTTGCATACATCTATCATAAGTATATATTTTTTCAGACCATATTTACAGGAAATTTAGTGTTCAGTAACTAATATTTTTTTTATTTTAGAGTTTTGCAAGTTTTAAACATGAATTGTCTTTGCATTTCCTTGTTTCTCTGATGGTGTTAGAACAAACATATGTGAGTGTATATCTTCAGTGGAAAGAAGTTGTATTATGTAGTGCTTCCAAATTCATTAGGGTTTTCCTTTCTTTATGGGTCATCTGTAGTGGCAGCAACACTGTATTTATTTATTTATTTATTTATTTATTTATTTATTTATTTATTTGTTTATTTATTTGTTTATTTAATGTCTTTGCAAACAGTACATTGAGATTGTGTATACACAATAGTGGGTTGCAATGCAAAGAGAGCCTCTATTATGCCTTGGCATTATAGGCCAACTTAACATTATTGGTTTACATTCTACTTAATACTAAGGAGTAGTATATCATAGTTGTACAGTAGGAAAGTAATTATTTCATAGTTGTACAGTAGAATATTAATTATAAATGAATCAAAATTTGTATAATACAAAGATTTTTTTTTTTTTTTTTCAACAAGTCGGCCGTCTCCCACCGAGGCAGGGTGACCCAAAAAAGAAAGAAAATCCCCAAAAAGAAAATACTTTCATCATCATTCAACACTTTCACCACACTCGCACATTATCACTGTTTTTGCAGAGGTGCTCAGAATACAACAGTCTAGAAGCATACACATATAAAGATACACAACATATCCCTCCAAACTGCCAATATTCCAAACCCCTCCTTTAAAGTGCAGGCATTGTACTTCCCATTTCCAGGACTCAAGTCCGACTATATGAAAATAACCGGTTTCCCTGAATCCCTTCACTAAATATTACCCTGCTCACACTCCAACAGATTGTCAGGTCCCAAGTACCATTCGTCTCCATTCACTCCTATCTAACACGCTCACGCACGCTTGCTGGAAGTCCAAGCCCCTTGCCCACAAAACCTCCTTTACCCCCTCTCTCCAACCCTTTCGAGGACAACCCCTACCCCGCCTTCCTTCCCCTATAGATTTATATGCTTTCCATGTCATTCTACTTTGATCCATTCTCTCTAAATGACCAAACCACCTCAACAACCCCTCTTCTGCCCTCTGACTAATACTTTTATTAACTCCACACCTTCTCCTAATTTCCACACTCCGAATTTTCTGCATAATATTTACACCACACATTGCCCTTAAACAGGACATCTCCACTGCCTCCAACCGTCTCCTCGCTGCTGCATTTACCACCCAAGCTTCACACCCATATAAGAGTGTTGGTACTACTATACTTTCATACATTCCCTCTTTGCCTCCATAGATAACGTTTTTTGACTCCACATATACCTCAACGCACCACTCACCTTTTTTCCCTCATCAGTTCTATGATTAACCTCATCCTTCATAAATCCATCCGCCGACACGTCAACTCCCAAGTATCTGAAAACATTCACTTCTTCCATACTCCTCCTCCCCAATTTGATATCCAATTTTTCTTTATCTAAATCATTTGACACCCTCATCACCTTACTCTTTTCTATGTTCACTTTCAACTTTCTACCTTACACACATTCCCAAACTCATCCACTAACCTTTGCAATTTTTCTTTAGAATCTCCCATACAAAGATATACGTATTTATATTCTAAAATGCTTTTGTGAAAAACAATGATTCAATTATATTCCTGTCAACAATGGATAAAAGGTTCAATGTGATTGTTTCAGTTATGATGTGGGAGTACATAGGTGAGCAAATGTGTACTGAGTATTTAGCATTTAGTCTAGGGTGATTAAGTGGCTTTTGAGAAGAGTCTTAAATTTATTTTCATTTTCAGACTGGGTTACTTTAATATCTTCTGGTAATGAATTCCATATTTTGGGGCCCTTTATGTGCATAGAGTTTTTACACAGTGTGATATGGACATGAGGTATATCAAAAAGAGATCTGTGTCTTGTGTTGTGGTCATGTGTCCTGTTTAGGTTGGTGAGGAAAAGTTTGAGTGGAGGGTTTATATTTGCGTGTATTGTTCTGTGTCTGTAGTAGGCACATGAATAAGTATGGATGTTCTTAATGGTAAGCAGATTCAGACTTTTGAAAATTGGTGGAGTATGCTGGCGGGAGTGGGAATTTGTTATCATTTTTGCTGCTGCCTTTTGCTGGGTTATTAGGGGTTTTAGGTGATTGGATGATGTTGATCCCCATGCACCAATTCCATATGTAAGATAAGGGTATATGAGTGAATGGTACAGTGCCAGGAGAGCTGATTGTGGAATGTAGTACCTTATCTTTGATAATATGCCTACAGTCTTGGAGATTTTCTTGGTGATTTGTTGTATGTGTGTCTGGAACTTAAGGCTACTGTCAAGGTGGATACCTAGGAATTTTTCCTCTGTGAGTCTTGTGACTGATGATCCATTTAGTGTAATGTTAATTGGATGATTTGCAGCTTTGTTTCCAAACTGAATGAAATTGGTTTTATCAGTGTTCAGGGTAAGTTTGTTAGTCATCATCCAGACAGATATTTTCTGTAATTCAGCATTGACTGTATCATATTCATGAAATTAAGATGCATGTGCAACATCTGGGTATCTTTATTGTAGATGTTTTGCCATCCAGTGGCTTTATCAATGCAAATTCCAGGACATAACTGGAATTTGTATTGATAAAGCCACTGGATGGCGAAACGTCTACAATAAAGATATCCAGATATTGAACGTCTTAATTTCATCTTGTCGGTACTGTATACCATTCTTGTACATCATATTCATACAACTCCAAGTTCTCATCACTATCTTCAGTGCTAGAATCAGCCTGGGCAAATAGCAAATGCTCAGTAGTTTATGGAGTGAAGGAATGTCAAAGATGATGTGTTGGTATGGTACCTCAAAGCAAACTGTTCCCAGAATGCCATGTGGTGGAATACTTTTTTGTTGTAGCGCACACTATCGACACAGGCCTTCTTTATCCTGTGTTGGTTTAACATTCCTGATTGTGACCATTTTGAAGGAGCTAGAATTTAAATGTTCATCTACATGTGTGGCAGTATATGCTCACCCACTGATTAACGTGTGACAGTTTATAGGTTAATTTAATTCATAATGATGAAATTTGACGTTTGTTAAAAATGGTCAAACAGAAATTAAATAAAATTGCTTAGTCTGAATTTTGAATCAAATATTTACATTTAATAGCTAATAATTTTAAAATATAATCACTATACGTAGTCACAAATTCATAAACAAATAACGTGCCAAAAAATATATTCAGTGGTACCAATAATGTACAATGCAGCTGTGAGGAGAGACGAAGAAAAGAACTTTAAAAAACATTACTGTAGATTAGAAAATGGCTAAGCCTGATATACAGTATTAATTTATACTTGAATCGTTGTACTCGCTGCTTTATAATAGAAGTGAAGTCATTAATCATAATGCTTTCCATAGTAACTTCCATTTTGAACATTAATTCTATGATCACTCTCATATGAGAGGGATCCTAATGGTTAAAAATTTAAAATAAATATTGAATATCTGTATTTCATAAAAGTGTAACCTGTGACCCTATCAAACTGTTTTTTTAATTACATTACCTAATAGAATAATCCATTCTCTTGAATGTGCAGTAACTCATCTAATGACCATGTGACCTGTTTCTGCACTACAAATAGTATATTGATATAGTATATTGATCATTTTGTTATATTATACATTGTTATGCTACAAATTTGTACAGCTATAATGCCACTTAATTGAATGGTTCAAATTTCATTGTTTAAAATACTCATTTGTACTTCATGTTGTATTTTGTTTACTGTAATTTTTACCACTGAATATATCATTGCTTGGTTAATCTTAAGTTAATTTTAAGCTGCCCATAATGGTCAGCATACAAGGAGCTTTTGGCATGTACACCCAACTATAATTCCTTGTACAACTATGTATCATGTCCAAATAAAAAAAAACTTACAAAATGTACTGTTGAGTTTATAATTTTTTTTTTTTTTTTAGCAAATACTTTGGTATATCACTGAATTGCTACAAATATAAAGGACAATGTGATTGACTAGTCTTCTGTAGGATACAGTGAACAAGTTTGAGTTATTAAAATTTAGTATGTATTTACATTTGCTCTGTACTGTATTGTTATTAGTGCTATGGTTATGCAATAAATAATAATTATATTTGCTTTTCAGGTGGTTGGTTACTTAGCAGTGTACCGTTTGTGCTTTGCAATGACATTGTTCTTCTTCGTTATGGCACTTCTTATGATCGGGGTTAAATCAAGCAAAGACCCTCGAGCTGGAATACAAAATGGGTAATAACCTTGTTTAAAAAAAATTAACTGGAAATTTAATGGAATTAGCATAACTTCCCTGTAACACATTGCATTTCATAAACCTTCGAAAAATTTATAATAGTATTGACTTGGCTATAGTAAATCTTGAGAGAATAGTTAGATGTCAAGTTCTTTTTATGATTTTTGGCCATCATTGACTTAAATTTGATGTAAAATGTGAGTTAACAAGGTTTAAGTTTGTCAGATATGACACATGAGTGGAATTATTTATAATATTTTGGCAATGGATAATAGACCTTATTTTTTGGATGTTGCCACTTTTTGTGTTTTTTTTTTTAACACATCAGCCGTTTCCCACTGAGGCAGGGTGACCCAAAAAGAAAGAAAAAAATACTTTCACCATCATCCAACACTTTCACCATCACTCGTACGTAATCACTGTCTTTGCAGAGGCGCTCAGATAAGAGTTTAGAAGTCCCTCCAAACTGCCAATATCCCAAACTCCTCCTTTAACGCTTTGATGTGTCGCAACCCCCAATCCTGAGGTGTCTCCTGGTGTCGTAAAATATTTGAAAAAAAAAAATTTCTTATGAAATGATAGAGAATATATTCCCAATGGTAATGATAACAAAAGTACGAAATTTGATGGAAAACTTATGGAATTACGCTCTTGTGAAATTAGCGACCTCGGCAGTATTTACGAATTGGCGATTTCGCCCACTTTGAGCCCTATTTTTGGCTAATTCCATTGTTCCAGTCGACCAAACTTATAGCTATTTCTTTAGAACTCCATTTGTTCTATCGATTGAGTACAAGAAACTGCCCATTTACCGATTTCGACTACCCAATAAAGTGGTCATAAATTGGCAATTTGGCCAATTTCATGCAAATTAAAAAATATGCCAATTTCAAAATAGGGTCCAGAATGAACAGTGCAGACATTCCTGGCTCTAAACTAACATTTTCTTTGTTCATCAGTCATGTCTCCAGGTCCCTTTGATATTACTCTTGCTTTCTGTTTTGAATTTTTATTCAAGCAAAAAATAGAAGATTTACTGTTATGCAGACTACTGCAGTATTGTAATAATTGTGCAAATTATGTCAACCCATTCATGACTGCATATTAGAATGGCTAGTTGGACAATGACGTCATTTGTTTACTCTTGAACATCTGCAAAACTCAAACATTTCCTCTACTTTGAGTTCCATTTTAAGGTCTTTTTCATAGTAAAACCAATCAAAATCATCTCTATTTCTGTAATATGTTTCCCATTCTATCAAATGAGACCAAGAAAATGAGAATACAACCATAAAAACTATATGAAAATACACCTCAAAATCAGTGCTTTAATCCAAAAACAGTCAGAATTTTTTTTTTTTTCTAATTATGCACTGCATGCTGCAGGATTTTTTTATACAGTGCACACTGGCCACACAGATCCATTCTCTCACATGTGGGCCTACCAGCTTTCTCCCGCTTGATTTGGTTTTAGTGTTTAAGCATTTGTTAAAAACAATTAGCTATAAAGAGCTCTGTATAAAAATTGATTGTGTTAACATAGATTCTTAAGTAATTTGTTATTTTAAAGGACACTTTGAGAAATATTTGCTCTTAAAATCTAAGAAATCTTGAAATGGATCTTGCTGGTGCCATTTTATTCAACAAATATTGTTGCACACATGGCCAAAGGGAATAAATATTACTCGTGTATGCATTCACCTAAGACACCTTTGAGTAAAGGTGTCATAATGGAATGCATTTGTCCTTTTCCCCTGAAGTTGTTGACATTTACTGCCTTTTTACTATCATAGTACATTTTATAGTAAATCACAACAAGCAGTCTTAAACTAGTGGATTAACATAAAACACTCAATAAAATATGTAACACATTAATAACAAAAAAAGGCACAATACCGTGACTGGAACGATACACAAATAACCCGCACATAGAAGAGAGGAGCTTACTATGTGCTGGTTATTTGTGTATGTAACACATTTAAAGTTTCGTGTTAATGGATAAAAAATAGAAGAATAACGTTAACACATGGTATAATGAAAAATGCTCTAAAATTAGCAATTTTCATTTTCTAAAAAAGTATTTTATTAAGTATGTCTGCATAAAATGGGAATGATTTAACACTACTTGAGCAATAAATTATGAAATTATAGGTAGCCAGGATACAGTGTTTGCATTTATAGTTTTTTCCTGAATGTTTAGAGCTGCCTTTTCTTTGTATGATTTATTGTCTTTAGTACAAAATATTTTGCATTGAAAAGATTACTTTGTCTTTCAAAAAATTATTCTCTGTACAGCATTTCTATACTTGCATGTTGTAAATTGTTAAAATTTACATTATGAATAATTTTCTCCTGTAGATTTTGGGCTATCAAATTTCTTGTCTTGATTGGTGCGATCGTTGGAGCATTCTTTATCCCACGGGGACAATTCGGAGAAGTTTGGATGTACTTTGGCATGATCGGTGGATTCCTGTTCATTCTAATTCAGCTGGTCCTCATCATCGATTTTGCACACTCCTGGGCAGAATCGTGGGTGGACAAGTATGAAGAAACTGAGAGTCGTGGATGGTATGTATTTTTTATAGCTTTTTGCAAGATAGACAAAATAATACTGTATTTTTTAATGTATGTGTACATAGACATTACAGTGAATAGGTTTGCAGTTAGTGTGTAGATGAAAAATAGACTATGTACAATATAGCACTTTTGGCAACCCTAAACTACGGCTGAACAATAGAAGTACTGTATTGCATATATAGTTGGAGTCTTAATCTAAACTGTTAATATCATCAGATAAGATGGTTTTATATCTGTGTATTAGGTGTCATATATCTTTGCGAATATGATAATGGTATATAGTACTGACAAGTTGACAAGCAAGACACGTGCAACAGTTAGGTCCCGAAACGTTTCACCTGCACAATAGGCTTCTTCAGCCAAACAAGTGGGCAGAGAAGCAGTAAGTGGAAAAAGCCTTATGTTGATTGATTTTTCAACTTGCATTATCTTGTGTATTGGGGTTTTATCATTGTGTAACTATTGTTGCTAAGAAGTTACTTTTATTTTTCTATTTAAAATGACTGTTATTTTAGAGTTTTTATAACTTTTGTAGCCCGAAAAAACTTTAAACCATTGCCTTTTAAAATTTTTTTGTCTTTAAAAATGTTGCATAAAAAACTTAGGTGGGATTAATAAGCTTTAGTAAAAATTTAGGTTTAAATAGTACAAAGTTTTCTGCAAAAACACTTAATTAGGGGATGACATGAGCAACATTTGTATTGCACCCTCCCGGGACATAGTTTGCCAAAGGGCTTTATATCCTTCATATTAAAAACTTGTTTTCATATAGTTTTTAATGGTACATGTGATATTGCCTTCCATTGCAAAAACAGAAGGGCAGCTAAAAATATTCGATTGGGAATATTTTAAGGAAAAAAAAATCTGGAAACGCGTATAGAAAGCGTGTTTAAAAACGGACTTTGAAAATAAGGCCAAAACCACTTGTCATAGTTAAAAAAATCCGTAAAGGTTTTGTTGGTTGCAAAATTGTCTGCAGTATTAATGATTTCAACAAAAATAATCTTCTCTTATCAACCACAGTTGAACTGGTTCATGCTCCCCTATTTGTCTGTTTAAAATTTAGGGTTTTCGTATAAAGTTTAAATGGTCTTCAAGTGGACCAAATTATTTATATGCCGTATATGCTTATTGTATCCCGGGAAAAAGGGAGTTTAAAAAAGTAATTGTTTTCCTTCCAAACTAAATCTTTTCCTGTATACGCATTTACAGTAGGAAGTCTGAGGATCAAATTTTTTTAAATTTTGTCAAGAATATGTATTCCAACACAAAAAATACAACCTTTATTTTGGTTGTATGGGGTGATGTTTCCCTTTGGTCAGAAGGATGATTATTTCACATTTAATTAAATTTTTTCAGGATTGTCTTACGTTTGCACTTTTCTTAACACGTTTGGGCCATAGTGCTGTTGTTCTCTTCTTTTGTCTTTACACAATGTAAGTTTTTTGTTTGTCATCTTAAATTTTAAAATTTTTTCCGTTATTTTAAATATTCATGCTGCCTAAATGAATATTGATTAGAATCTCAATAAAAAGAACTTGCTCTTGAATATAAACCTTATTCTGTTTAAAATAATCTAAAGAGATTATTGCTTTTTGTTCTTTGTCAATTGGAAGACATTTTGCAGGGGAGCTTTAAAAAACTAAAGGGTTTTCTTCCTACTAGTGCAGTATGAAGTGGTTTGCCTTTATTCTTTTGACTTCCTGCTAGAAATATTTTTGCATCTGTATTTAATCTTCCCTATTAATGTTTAAATTTATGAAAAGTAATTTTGTGGCAGTATTTTGGGAAAGCTTATTTTTAAAGTTTTTATGCATAGCCAAGATTATATATTTAATGTTTAAATACAGTACTTAGTGTGCTAGATGGGAGTGAATGGTTAAAAGTGGTTTTTAATGGACATGCTGTTGAGTGTGAGCAAGGTAAATTTTTGAAGAGATTCAAGGAAACCAGTTAGCTGAATTCAAGTCCCAAAGGGGTAGAGATGTTGCAGTCAGAGGGTAATCTAAATCGCGATGTCAACACACTTCTGTCAAGACAGTGATTTGAATAAATGATGAGTGTGTGGTCTTCTATGGGTCACCCTGCCATTGAGGTTAAAAAAAACTTATAGAACTAATTAAGTACCCGTATGAGTATTTACAAATTAGTGTGGCTATAGATTGTGGCTTTCACTTTCTATGCAATAATCTACTGTTCATTGAAAGTCATTTCTACTTACTCTTAGGCTGAAAGTTGCAGTCTTCACAAATTCTTCATCTCCTTCAACTTGATTCTGTGTGTGATCATCAGTATTGTGAGCATCTTGCCCAGAATCCAGGAATCACAGCCACGCTCAGGACTCTTGCAGGTATTTTGGATTTGCAGTTTGTACACTAATGTTCAGTCCTATGGTAAAGCAGATTAGAATCCTTTCCTTGTGGGTTGTGTGTGTTATCAAAGACAACTAGAATAATGTTGGTAGCTGTTACCCTTTTCTCTTGTAATTTATATCCCAAAAGACATGTGAGGTAATGAATGTGCTTTCTTGTTGGGTCACTTCCATAGTGGAAGATGGCCAGTGAGTTGAAAACCAAAAAATTACCAACTCTTCATTTTAAATAGAGCTTTTCAAAGGGTAATAAGTTTTGTTTGAACATTATTCCTTATCAGGTTTCAATCCAATACCTGATGATATATTATAAAATTCTATACTATTCAATAAGTATTAATATTGTACTGTATTTGTAACTGAAATCATATTATCTCTGTTTTCTCTCAGGCATCTCTTATCACACTGTACACCATGTACCTGACATGGTCAGCTATGACCAACACTCCCAATTCTGAATGCAAACCTGATTGGGTTTCTGTCATCCATGGTGGTGACCCCACTTCTTCTCCACCGGTAATATTTCACCTACAAGTCAAAATCTTTGTAAAATATATATTTTAATAGTTAAGGTGTCTTTTATGGTATGTTGTATATTGTATTTAAAGTTGGTATCATACATTGTGTATTTTTTTTTTATTATGCAAGCTACATGAATGTTAATTAAGATAGGTCTCATTTTCTTTGTAGGCCAAGGAGCCCTCTTTTGATGGAGAGTCAATTGCTTCATTGATCATCTGGTTCTTCTGTGTTCTCTACTCCTCGATGCGCACTGCTTCCAATTCCCAAGCTTCACGCCTCACCATGTCTGACAAAGTTCTCTTGAAGGATGATTCTAGTAAGAAACTGTTTGCAGTAATTTTATTAAATTGTGTTGGCACTCGGTGATTGAACTCTCTGGAGTGTGTACACAGTATGTACCTAATATAAGGGAAATGTATGTGCATACTAGGATGTTGGGGGAGAGGTGTAGGATTAAATTATGGGGAATCAAATACAAAATGGGAGTTGAGTTACTTTTTGCTGATGTTACTGTGCTTTTCGGAGATTATAAAGAAAAGTTGCAAATGTTAGTGGATAAGTTTGAGAGGGTGTGTAAAGGTAGAAAATTGGAAGTGAACATAGATAAGAGTAAGGTGATTAGGGTATCAAACAATTTAGATAAAGAAAAATTGGATGTCACATTGGAGGGAGGTAGTATGGAAAAAGTGAATGTTTTCAGATATTTAGGAGTTGAATTGTCAGCAGGTGGGTTTATGGAGGATGAGGTTAATCATAGAATTGATGAAGGAAAAAAGGCAAGTGGTGCATTGAGGTATCGGTGGGAAACGGCAAAAATGTTAAAAAAAAAAAAAAAAAAGAAGTAATTTTTTACACATCGAACATTTCCCCACCGAGGCAGGGTGACCCAAAAAGAAAGAAAAAACTTTTCATCATCATTCAACACTTTCACCATCACTCGTACGTAATTACTGTCTTTGCAGAGGCACTCAGATACGACAGTTTAGATGTCCCTCAAAACTGCCAGTATCCTAAACCCCTCCTTTAAAGTACAGGCATTGTACTTCCCATTTCAAGGACTCAAATTTGGCTAACCGGTTTCCCTGAATCCCTTCACAAAATATTACCCAGCTCACACTCCAACAGCTTGTCAGGTCCCAAAAACCACTCATTTTCATTCACTCCTATCTAAGAGACTCACGCACGCTTGCTGGAAGTCAAAGCCCCTCGCCCACAAACCTCCTTTACCCCTTCTCTCCAACCTTCCTTTCCCTACAGATTTATACGCTCTGGAAGTCATTCTACTTTGATCCATTCTCTCTAAATGACCAAACCACATCAACAGCCCCCTCTTCAGCCCTCTGACTAATACTTTTAGTAACTCCACACCTCCTACTTTCCACACTATGAATTCTCTGCATAATAGTTACACCAGACATATATTAAATACATTTATGGAGATAAAGCTTTAACTTCCCCAGTCTCTGTTGTCTATGTACACACCAGCAATATACTATAGTATGTATATGAATAATAGTCAGTATCTGAAGATGTCAATTGAAAACTCTTAATATTTGTTAGGAATAATTGTTTTTCTTTCAGTATAATTAGCTTTAATATCACTTACTTTCACAGCAGTTTTCTAGATTTGCATAATATTAGCTGTGATATTCATTGACCTGCGTGTTGATTACTTCACACGCAGCTTCCCGTAGGAGTGTGAGCGACATTCCCCTTGTGACCAGCGAGGTGGTACAAGGTAAAAACTGACCTCCATTTCTTTACTAACATAACACCATACCATTTTGTTGCTGCTGCATTTTGTGTAGTAATACTTTTCATTTTTCTTGTCAATATAAGTGAACAGTTTCAGTTTCACAAAGGATTGAGATTGGTTTGTCTTTATCAAAGGCAATCTTGTCATCACTATCTAGGTTTTTAATATGCAAGCATTTCTGTATATCATTTGGTTCTGTACCTATCTGCTTTATATTAATGAATTCTTTCATAATTTTCACCATTACTCAAATTTAATGATTTGGAAAAGCAGTCTTAGTATTTTCTCCAGAAAAAGTAACAAAAAGTCAGTGTTATTACAACCTTTAACATTCCTAACTGGTTTAAAAACTAATCCCTTGTGTTAATGTAAGGCTTAGTGTGTATGGTGTAGTAAAAATTTCAGCACTTGCATTCTCACTGCTATTTGAATGGTAACTGTGGAGCATTTTAAATAACTTGGTAATCTTGCTTCTTGCAAGAAACTCTCTTGTTGCTATGTAAATTATGTCTGCACTGAGAGATGTGTGCTAATGGCAGCAGTGTCTGCTATTATGGAACTTTGATATACAGCCAGTTATTACTGTACTAGTATGTAACACACACTTCATTATGTGAGCTTTATATATGTAGGATTACCTGTCTGTAGCCATGGGAGTGGAGCTATATTGCATGTCCTGTAGCCAGTGTTGTATTTTAATTTCTAGTGGTTTTTCCACTATCTTCTAGAGCTCAATCTTTTGCTCTACCACAATAAAGAAAGCATCAGATTCCTTTAACACCCATTTTTTTCTTAGTTTATAGCAATGGCCTTTTATTTTTCCACTTGATGAATCTAAGAAATGGATGTTCCTGCATATTATAATTAGTGTAAAGTATAGTGTATAGGTTTTTTTTTCTTTTATCATTTCTCTATCCAGCATATGATTCTAAATGATATTCCTTTGATAATCTTTGGCCTTTGGTGACTTCTAGATTCCTGTCTGATGCTCTAAATACATTTATATCATTCAACGCTTTCACCACCATTCACACAATATCACTGTCTTTGCAGAGGCACCCAGATACAACAGTTTAGATGTCACTCCAAACAGTCAGTATCCCAAACCCCTCCTTTAAAGTGCAGACATTGTACTTCCCACCTCTGGGACTACTCCAGCTAACCAGTTTCCCCGAGTCCCTTCACAAAATATTACCTTGCTCACACTCCAACAACTCGTCAGGTCCAAAAAAAACCCATTCTCCTCCATTCACTCCTATCTAACATGCTCACACATGCTTGCTGCATGTCCAAATCCCTTGCACACAAAACCTCTTTTACCCCCCTCCCTCCATCCTTGCCTAGGGCGACCCTTACCCCTCCTCCCCTCCGCTACAGATTTATACAGCTCATTTCTTTTCTTATGTATTTTCTCCCCACTGAGTATTTTCCTAGAATGCTAGCTATCTAGAATGGAACAGGCGAAATTCACAAAATGAGGGTAAATTTCCGGTTTCCTCTCATTTATATCACTTAGCTCTAGTTTTACTGTGTTCATATAGTGAGTATTTTTGGAAAAGAGGTTGTAAAGCAAACAAGTTGATACATGCTGTGAATGAAAACCTTTAGTAAGACATTTCACTTTCAGTTGAAGCTTTTTTTTTTCCACTGTGGAGAATACTTGGTAAACAAGGTTGTCAGGGGAGTTGTGAGGTGTGAAGTTGATGTCAGGTGAGGAGACAGTGTGTGCTGAGGAACATTAGAGTCAGAGGTGCTGTCACCTAAAAGTTTCCTTTATTCTGGGTGATGGTGTCTAGTATGAATTGGAACTCATTGTGTTCTTTTCCATGGCTAATCATGCTTGCCTTTGGCCAAAAGAGATTATGAGGTTAAAGTTGCAAGAGAATCAAAGACTAACCCAAAAGGATTCTTTCAGGTATACAGAAGTAAGATCAGGGACAAGATGGGCCCACTCAAAAGTTACTCGGGTCAGCTCACGGACAGTGATAAGGAAATGTGTAGAATTTTTAACACATACTTCCTCTCAGTTTTTACACAGGAAGATACTAGCAATATTCCAGAAATAATAAATTATGTAGAACAGGATGATAATAAACTATTTATGATTAGGGTCACAAGTAACATGGTCCTTAGGCAAATAGATAAATTAAAACCTAACAAATCCCCAGGCCCTGATGAACTGTATGCAAGGGTTCTAAAGGAATGTAAAGAGGAGCTTAGCAAACCTCTGGCTAATCTTTTCAACATATCACTACAGACTGGCATGGTGCCAGATAAGTGGAAAATGGCAAATGTGATACCTATTTTCAAAGCAGGTGACAGGTCCTTAGCTTCGAACTATAGACCAATAAGCCTAACCTCTATAGTGGGAAAATTTATGAAATCAATAATTGCCGAGGCAGTTCGTAGCCACCTTGCAAAGCATAAATTAATCAACCAATCTCAGCATGATTTTACAAAGGGGCATTCCTGCCTTATGAACTTGTTAACTTTTTTCACTAAGGTGTTTGAGGAGGTAGATCATGGTAGTGAATATGATATTGTGTATATGGACTTCAGTAAGGCTTTTGACAGGGTCTCACATCAGAGACTATTGAGAAAAATTAAGGCACATGGAATAGGAGGAGAAATTTTTTCCTGGATAGAGGCATGGTTAGCAAATAGGCAGCAGAGAGTTTGCATAAATGGGGAGAAATCAGAGTGGGGAAGTGTCACGAGTGGTGTTCCACAGGGGTCAGTGTTGGGGCCCCCTGTTGTTCACAATCTACATAAACGACATTGATGAGGGCATAAAGAGCGACATAAGCAAGTTTGTCGATGACACCAAAATAGGCCGTCGAATTCATTCTGACAAGGACGTTAGAGCACTCCAGGATGATTTGAATAGACTGATGCAGTGGTTGGAGAAGTGGCAGATGCAGTTTAATATAGACAAATGCAAAGTTCTAAATGTTGGACAGGAAAATAACCATGCCACATATAAACTAAATAATGTAAATCTTAATATTACGGATTGCGAAAAAGATTTAGGAGTTCTGGTTAGCAGTAATCTGAAATTAAGACAACAGTGCATAAGTGTTTGTAATAAAACTAACAGAATCCTTGGCTTCATATGAAGAAGCATAAATAATAGGAGTCCTCAGGTTGTTCTTCAACTCTATATATCCTTGGTTAAGCCTTATTTAGATTATGCTGCACAGTTTTGGTCACTATTATAGAATGGATATAAATGCTCTGGAAAACATACAAAGGAGGATGACAAAGTTGATCCCATGTATCAGAAATCTTCCCTATGAGGATAGACTGAGGGCTCTGAATCTGCACTCTCTAGAAAGGCGTAGAACCAGGGGGATATGATTGAGGTGTATAAATGGAAGACAGGAATAAATAAAGGGGATGTAAATAACGTGCTGGAAATATCTAGCCTAGACAGGACTTGTAGCAGTGGTTTTAAGTTGGATAAATTCAGATTCAGGAAGGATATAGGAAAGCACTGGTTTGGTAATAGAGTTGTGGATGAGTGGAACAAACTCCCAAGTACAGTTATGGAGGCTAAAACGTTGTGCAGTTTTAAAAATAGGTTAGATAAATACATGAGTGGGTGTGAGTTGGACCTGATTAGCTTGTACTACTAGGTCAGTTGCCGTGTTCCTTGGGTGAATGTGACCTGACCTGACTAGGTTGGGGCATTTGTTTAAGCCGGTAGGAGACTTGAACCTGGGCCAGTAGGCCTTCTGCAGTGTTCCTTCTTTCTTATGTTCTTATGTAATGTGAAGCCATGTTTTGATGTAAAACACAGGTGTTGTTGATTCAGCAATCGTGTGTCATACACACGTGTAGAAAAAGCCTTAGCTGTCTTACCAATATATACAGTGCTCTATTACAATCACTACAAAGGATGGTGTATATGTCAGTGTCCTCCTTTGAGTTGGCATCAATCCACTTAGGCCTAGTAATGTCTTTGACATTGATGAGGTGGCAGTGATATAATTGACTCTTCATATAACCTGGAAGCATTCTCAGGTACTGTGGAGCTAAGGATAGTTAAAAGTAGCTATTGCTGGAATTGATTGTCATAAGTATTCCTGAAGGGAAACCTTTAAGTGGTTGCCATAATTTTTTTCTTTTAACTTCAAATTTTTTGTTTCACTCATAACACAAAGACCGCATTTAATTGGCTTCAAATGTTCAATGCTGGTGTATTGTAACTGGGCCAAGATTCTAGGAACAAGTGGCATGTGCAGGTGCCTTATAATCAGAATTGTTGAACCCTTTCCCAGCATCCTGGAATGGCTCTGATAACTTTTTAAACTTTCTGCGGCTTAGCTTCAAACATTCAAAACAGTTTCCGTCTAATTAATAGTGTACGTTATATTGAATGGAGTTGCTAGTAGTATTTTTTATGTACATAAATGTCAAGGAAAGGAAGATTCAATTGCATTGAGATTCTCTGGGCTGAAAGAGATAGACTGTTTCATGCAAAGATGAGGATGCCATTGCCATACTTCAGGGAGGAGTTTATGGAGAATCTTGGCCTTGAGGAATTCCCTGTAGACATTCTCTAGGACAGCACTGATTGGGGACCTCGGTGAGCAAGGCGAGGGGAGGTTTTTAGGCAATCAGGACATGCCCCTGGGTATAACCTAATAAATGCTCTGCAAAAATGATTTTAAAAAGTTCTTGAGGCCTTCCTTAAGGCTTTAAGGCCTTACTGAAAAATAAGCTAGCCGGTGGTGTAAATTTCAATGGAATTTGCCCAATAAAACAGTCTTCTGTACCACCACGTTATATGTACTGTCATACAAAAAATTCCGAAGAAAGTGTAGGCCCATATTCTGAATCCTTTTGAGGTCAGTCCCATTGTTCTACAACTTTGAAGCCTAGGTCGGCCCCATAGTACTACGCCACGAGTTCCTCTCTCAGATAAGCTGTGAGAGGTAAATTTGGGTCTAGAATAAGAGAATGGGTCTGTGTAGTAAGTG